AATAGAGAGAAAAAAGTGGAAAAAGCTTGCACAAAAGTATCCCAAGGGGCACAATCACAACAAGCACCACCTTTTTAGATATACTTTTGTTCCAGAATACCTTTAATAGCTTCACCAATTTCAGTTCTTGATGATTTTAAAAAGCTAGCAAAACTAAAAGAAAGTTCATTTAAAGTAAAAAAGATTCTGATGTTCAAAATAAGATGAATCTCATAGATGAGAGGCTTCGAGCTATCGAAGGCATTGATTTCTATGGATCTATAGATGCATTTGAGCTTTGCTTGGTATCAGATGTGATTGTTTCGTCCAAGTTCAAAGTCCCAAAATTAAAGAATTATGATAGGACTAAATGATCGATGACCCATGTTACTATATACTGTATAAAGATGGCTGCCCATGCTTGTGATGATAAACTCTTGATTCATGTATTTTAAGATAGTCTTATAGGATCTGTTACTAGGTGGTATGCTCAGTTGGACAGAACTCAAATCACTTCATGGAAAGAATTGGTTATAGCATTTATAACTCAAAAAAAGCACATTGTAGCATAGTTATTAGAGCCAGACGAAACCGTCAGTTTAACTGGGTGAATTAGTGAACCAATACTGAAATTGGTTCGGCTCTGTAATTAGATCAATTCTATAATTAAATCACTTTAAACTATTATGAACTGACGGTTTATATAATAAACCAGTAAATCAGACAATATTTTTTTTAACTGAACTAGTTCAATAGCAACTAATAAGTTTAGGTAAAATATGAAAAAAAACCTTTTAAGTATTCAAAATAATCTAATTAAACCCTTACATTATTATTTCATCTAAATAAGCCCCCTAATTCTTACTTTCTACTATCAAAGCCATTGCATACTTATATTAATGATATGTTGGCATATTTTGAGACACATGAATTATGATATTATAAAAACAACTTATACATGTATAAAAATAAACAATTTTTGAAAAAAGATGATCTAACAAAAATTTTAATTAATTGATACCATAATAAAAAATAATATACAAAATTAATTAAAAAATAAAATGTTAATAAAAATGATTAATTATTTGACCATAATCGAAAAAAATTAATAAAAAAATGTATATATGTAAAATTAATAAAAAAATCTACATTCATATAAAAAATAAAAAAATGATTTTAATTTTCTTTTTACTAATTTTCATATAAATATAAATATTCCTTTTTATTAATTATATATATATTTCTTTTTAATTACATAAAGATTAATTATTATATGTTAATAAATAATATTTATATTTTAATAAATATAAATAATAATTATTTATTATTTATTATACTTATTAAAATATAAATATTATTTCTAACTATTACAATATAAAATATATTTTAATAAAATGTTAAATAATTTCTTTTCTAACTAGTAATTAATTGTTCTATAAATTTTATATTTTAAAATTTGTAGTTTATGATATATCTTAAAGTTTATAGTTTTATGTTGAATTATTAAACTATAACTTTAGTTAAAATTTTAAATTTTGAATTTTTAAAATATTTATATTTTTTATAATATTTTTTATTGAATTGACAATTGACCCATTGACCCTGTGGTTGAACTATTGACCTGATGACCCAAAACTTTGAACGATTTAATGCCCAGTCTGATTCTGATAACTATACATTATAAAATTAGTCCCAGATCGATTGTTTCTACAAAGTATGAAGAAAAAAGTTGCTAAGAGCTTTAAAGAATATGTTTAACAGTAGAAGGATACTACTGTCCAAGTTCAACCTCCTTTAACATAAACAGAAACTATAGTTTTATTTATTAATACTTTTAAAGCTTTATATTATGAAAAAATTATCATAAATGCACAAAGAATTTTACTGACATAGTCATATCAAGGGAAATAATAAAAAATATCATAAAAAATGAAAAGCTTAAAAAAGATAATACAACTGATATGAATGTATCGAGAATGGATAAAAAAGGTATTCAAGTTGTGATGTATGAAAGGAAATAGGTGGAGGCTTTATCCCATACCGTATTCATCAACTCTATTACCCTACCTTACATAACCTTTCTTAAAATCTTTGTTTTTACCAGTCAACTCAACAATCAATTCTTCACATAAATCATTATCTTTTCACATAAATCATTATCTTTAGTCTACTACTCGACCATTGAATAACAAAATAGGATCAAGAAATAGTATGAAGAAAATCTCAATTTTAATTTATGATCTTTTGTCTCTGCTAGTAAAGTATCAATATATCACCCCATTACCTTTTAAAGCAATTTCAAATCCTTCAATCAAAAGTTATGATCCAAATAATAAATATGATTATCATATGAGAATAATTTGATACTCGTATGAGAAATACAAACAGTTAAAAGAAAAAATTATCATAAGAAAACAATAAAACAAATAAGATATAAAAAAATATAAATAATTAAATAATTGAGTTTGAATCGGATATGAATTTAGTTTAATCGAGTTCCTAACTAAATAGGATGTTTCTACCTAACTACATTGTTAGTATGCCTTTTACTTTTCAACGCTAAGTGTCATCTTGAAAAAGACAAGCACCTATAAATTGACTGTTTGTTTCGTATGCTACAGTATTTGTACTCTTTTACCTTCAATTTGCAGAACATTGCTTTGATCGAAGTCCACCTTGGAGGAATCAAGTCGCGGCCACTAATTCTGACCATTTTCATTTTAATATTCTTTGCTAAAAACTCTAAAATTTTCTCGCTCAAATTAGAGAAGCCTTGCGTGCAACTCTGCAAGAGCACAAACAAAGTGAGCCACTCAATGGATATTTCGTGTCTATAAATTTCGTTGATTTTTATGAGGTTTCCATTTAGTGACAAATATAAGATTTTTTTAATATATTTTAACTTAATAGTAAATGCATATATCTCCTTACTAAAGAGGGTCAGAATTATAATTCTCCTTTCTCCAATTTGCCAGAGTTGGAATTAGAATATTTTTAGAATAAATCCAATTTAATAAAGAAAATTCCAAGACAAAAACTTTTACCATATTGTTTTTTTCTGGCCTAGAAAGCAGGGATCATATCTTCCACTCCCCTTTATGATATACCCAATATAACTAGCATGATCCTCCGTCGAGCCACGAGGGACACGGAGTTATTGACAACTGACAAGTGAAAAAGGTCGAAACTTCTATCTAGTTGATGGACTTTTTTTGTAAAGAACACTGGGCCCAATTCCCGGGGATCTGAGTCAAGATTGGGAACTTATTTCCAGATTATTGGGCCAATTAAAGAGAGGCTTCTTTTTTATTATTTATTTTCAATTTCCATTAATGGCCTCTCTGAAATATACCCAAATGCACTCGTGCTTATCGTATCCTTGATGGTGCCAACGGGCAATATTTGGCTTTAGGGTTCTGTTATACAACAAGCTTTTTGGACATGAAATATTTTCAGCTTAATCGTACTGGCTGAAACAGTTCAAAAATTTTGCACCAACACAAATAACGTAAAATCAATTTCCAAATTCTCATTGAAAAGTCTTACCTTCCACTAAAAGACAAGAAGTTGGATACGTATTATCTAAAGTGTTTTGGCTTCTTGGTTTCAAATGCACACTTTCATGACCATAACAGGGAATGAAAAATATGAATTGACGTACTATAGCTTCATTATTGATGGAGATATTTTCTGCTAATGGATTGGACACATTTTTTTGTGTTTAAATATCCTTCCTAATTATATAGATTAATCTAAGAACTTTCTTTGTATATCCATCAAAATTTGATCACAGTAATTAACACTTAAAAATAAAAACATTAAATGTATTAAATCAATACAAAAAAATTCTTAATTTCTTTAAAAAAAATTAGATTCAAACAAAAATTTGAAACCCTAATTTTATTATCAATATGTATACATATAAGATTAATATAAGTAACTTAATTAGCTCTGCCAAGTCTGACATGTCATAACAGGAAGAGGGGAGAAAAAGAAGAGAGTAAACTCTTTGAGTGTGTCGTAGATTTGAGTGAGCCCGAGAAGAAGAAGAAGAAGGATCATGTTGTCCTCCTTAAAAGTAGTTGATGATCTCATTAGATATTTGATGTGGAAGCGATGTTTCTTTAGGTTCTCAAAAATGTAGACTTGGAACGCCAGACAGAGAGATCTCAAAAAGAGATCCGGTAGAATGCGATTGGATAAATAATTGCCTATAAAAATCATGTCGGTTGTTTGTTTGTATTACATAAGAACCCAATGTCCACTCCACTCATGCCCCCGTTTTCTTTTCTGTCAAAACCGACCCCTTGTGGGGTTAGGATTGGATTACATTTAGTTGGTTACAATGTCATTTGCTTTGTCATAATAATTGTATAAATAAAAGCGAAGATTTTGCTTATCTCAAGGGTTAATCCTTTGGGATTTGTTCATGTTAAACTAATAATTATACTGGCACTATCATCCCACGAGGGCTCCACATCAGCTTCACCATTTCTTGGTCGGCCATTTGTCACTGGCCCTCGCCATTATTTTGCTCCAAATACGACAAGTTAAGTAAGATTTTGACATATAGGATGACCCTGATTGGAGAACTCCTTTCAAGTCTTCTTCTTATTTATACTATAAAAAGTAAAAAAAAAAGTGGTTGTGGCTTTAGGGTTTAGATGTGGAAGGAATATTTTACACATGCAAAATGCTGATGAATACAATTTCCCAAATTTTAAAATAATAATTTAAGATGTTATAACATATGTAAATGCTATCTCGAACTGGAATTCCTCTATCTTGTGAGAATTATTGTACTTTCCAGGAGTTGAGTATCATATTATGAGACCCTTTTGCAATTTTCACCTGCTATTGTTAGCAAACCTAGTTTTATTTTCAACAAAAGCACTCGAAACTAGATTGATTAATTTCTCTTAGTCATGTCCACATTTTTCATTTTGTTCGGCAGTGCATTTAAGCAACTGATCTGCGAATCTACTAGCTATAGCTAGAGCTGAAGACACATGTATTAACAGTTAACACAATTCATCATTCAATTTAGTATCAACTACAAACAGTCACACATTAAACAGCAGTCACAGAACTTGGAATTTTCAAATAAATGTGATCAAAACACACAGTTTCTTGACTATTTATATATAAAAAGACCATATTATTTCACATCCACCCAGATAATCTAAGTTATTGTCCTAAATCGAACCCCATTATTATGAGATGGTGATCCCCACCAATGTGCCAATTAATTAGCGTTCCATCCAATCACCGCAACATTTTTTATATGTAGGCACTTGTGTTTGTGTGTTTGTTTCAATAATAATAATAGAGTATGAAAAGAGTGGGGCAAAAAATCCAAGAAATTAGAAAAGTAAAGCCCCGCAAGGTATAGAGGTGCATGCTCAAAGTAACTGGATGGGGACATGGTGCCCCTGCTTGATGGAGTTGAAGTACATAGGAGAGTTGCGTCGTCTACAATTCAAAGAGGTCAGATTGTCTCCCCATAATTGGGGCACTTTTGACACTTCAAAGACTAATTATAAAAAAATAAAATAAAATAAAAAACCATCCCCAGCATGAACCTGATGGTGTTGCAGGGAGATTTGGTACCTGAAAAATGTGCATCCTCCGATAACAATAGTGACTACTGAGCTAGCCAGTAGCTAAACAAGGGATAATGTAGTGATCGGATATAAGAAGAAGCAAAGTCTGCTGTGTATTGGATAGAAACAAGTACATGGTGGATTTCCAATTAAAGCTAGCATTCAAGTGAATGACAAAGAAACCTACCAATCTTTTTTAATAAAGGAAAATACTGTTGGGTATATAATGCATAGGCCTTGTTCAATATTCCATATGTAGCATAATATAGAGCACAAAAGCATTTGGTTCCCTTCAACAAAAAAAAGATCTTATTCTTTTATATTCTTTTATGCTAACAACAAAACATTTCATCGTCTAAAATTGGGTGTGAGACTCAAAAAAAAAAAAAAACTTCCTCTCTTTCCTATGGAATCTCTGAGGAAAGAACCTAGCCCCTCTGAGAGTACCTCATGCATCATTTCTACACCAGAGGCCCTTTCAGGTTCAGATGAAGTACTCAAAGATCGAGAACAAGAGCCAAAACCCCGTCTCCAACTAGATCTAAACCTAACTACAAGTGATTGTGATCGTGGTTTCAATCCAGAACTCAATCTTATCGATTCCTTCAACACAACAGGTTCATCTGACAGTACCCAACCAGAAACTCCCGAACCTACAGACGGTGAGCAACGATTTTTCTCATGCAACTATTGCCAAAGAAAATTCTACAGTTCACAAGCTCTTGGAGGACACCAAAATGCCCACAAGAGAGAGAGAACTCTAGCCAAAAGAGGACAAAGGATGGGAGCTCATATAGCAGCCTCAGCCACAGTTTTTGGGCACCCTTATTTTCATCACAATCATTATTCTAGCTTGGCTACTCTTCCACTACACGATGCATATAATAGATCTCTCGGAATTCAGGTGCATTCAATGATCCATAAACCTCCTCATATTTCTTCATCAACTGGGTTTGGAAATGTTTACGGACACCATAGTTGGTCTGGGCCTCCTATAGACCAACAACCGGCAATAGGGAAGTTATCAATGGATAATTCCCTTGCAATTTCAACAGGACCGGCCTCTCGAGCAAGTGTCGGTAGGTTCAACATAACGAGGATGATGATGGGTTCTCCAGCTGATGAGGTGATTGGTAATTGTTGGTGGTCAGGTGGTGCTAGTCTGAAGACTAGGCAGGAAGAGATACAGAAGGTTGACCTCTCCCTCAAGCTCTAATTGATTTCTTTTTAAGAACATATTTTTTTGTTTTCTGATTAAGATTTTGTTTATTCTTAACCTCTTTGGAAGCAATTATCATGTATATTTTGATCATAGAAATGTTTGGAGTTTGTTTCTTCATTGTTTTTTTTTTACTTGGAACTGTTAATCCTTTTCTCCAAATACTCCTTTTGGTCAAGCTGTTTCTAAAATACCTGAAACTTGGAAGGTTGTACTATTTGTTTTCCGGAGGGAAATTTCCCAATTAAGATGAGAAGTAAATGAAGAACCTCCAGGGTTTTCCACTCAATCAACAAAGGTTTTGAGTCCCAGACCGATTTCAAATTGACAGATAATTACCGGGATTTACTTCATTAGGTCTTCCCAATAGATTCTTGGGAAATGCTATAACAGGAAATCTTGCAATAATTACGTTTAATTTAGATCTCATATTGTTCAAAAGCTATGATTTCGTCCTTTGTGAAGAAGCGCGTACTGTGTCACTTTCACTAATTGTGCCCTTTATCTAAGAAAGATTTGGTTTAGACATAATTCAATGTAGCTTCATAGCTTGAATCACCTTTAATATTTCTTTTTTGTTTTGGGATAAATTCACTTTCATCATCCACCATTGCTTTTTTGGTGGAAGAACGCTACACGGACGGCTCAGTTCTAATTAGACAGCGACATATTTCGTTCAGACCTGGCCTTGGTTTGGGTTAGAAATTCTAAACTACCATTGGCCTAAAGTTTTAAAACTTCAACTTGGTCGGTCGGAAGTCTTCAACTTGGTTGGTCGGGTGGTCGGGAAGGTTATGTTTAGACTTCTTCTCTCAAACCTTGGACGACCATTATTGTCGAAAGTGGGCTTAACACTGCTCAGCGAATCAGACAAACCTCCGACCAAACAATTGGCCCATTGTGCAACATGGGGCGTGCCTGGTTGGTCCATCACAACTTTCCCCCATTTAAATAATGGAGGTTCGAAGAGTGAATGTCATCATTTTCAATTTAACGTCTCGCCAAAATATAGGTACATACATAACTCTAATATGAACAAAATAACCCTTCCCCCCCCCCCCCCTTTTATTTTCTTTTACAAGTTCCCCAACCCCATCTTCATAAGTTTTGTGATCAAGAAGTTTTCCTTCAATGTTCAGAATCCCTTCTGGACAACATCTCTGCATTTCTGAACAGGAAAGAACAAAAAAAAAAAACACTTTTGAGACTACATCACTTCAGCATTTTTCTAAATGATGTTTACCCTATGAAAGAACTGAAAATAAAACCCCCATGTCCATGCCTTAACCCATTGCTTGATTGCTTTCTGTATTAGTAGATGCCTTTAGAACTACAATATTAGCATTACAAATGCAGAAATGAAAGTGGCTGCATTACTTTGAAAAGAAATGAAATGCATCAACTAAAGCCAAATCAAAACCATGTCACAAAGCCAATGCGTCGTCCGCAGCACAATTCTATGAGAATTCCTCAACAGATTATGTAAGTTTGTCACCTATAGAACATAATTCATCCCCATGGCAAATGAACCATAAGTGCATAAAAATATTCCACAATGCTATTATTAATCAATCCTTTCCCAGAAGTACATTCACATTGAAATCACCCCCAGCTTATCCTGTTTTGTTCATTAATAGCAGTAAAAACTAGTGCAATTTGAGCTGCCAGACTCCAATTTTTTTTGTATATCTCACTTATCTGTGATAGGAAAACCTTTGAATGCAAGAACTATGTATACAATACAAACTCAACCATTGCATAGCATATAATTCTTGCTCTTTAGTTCCAAAATTCTAGCTCAAACTTGCTTCAAAAGGAAAAGGTAAGCAGGTAACACTGCCAAACAGCAAGGCTACCTAGGTCAAACAAAAGCAATGCCAACACAAGATCAGTCCCTATTATTTAGCCAGCACTAAAAGCAAATTAGACAGCTGTAATAACTTGATATTAAAAAGGAGACATAAGAAAAGAAATCACAAGATGCCAAAAATGGTGAATCATAAGTAGAGAAGTGTATGGGGCACGCTACAGGCAGGAAACAAACTGTGTGCCATCGACTAAAATAGAAAATTAATAATGGCAACATAAGTCATATGCGTATGTGATCCAAAGTTAAACCAAATCTCCAAGTTCAATTAGAAATATGATAATGGTGATAGTGAATCTACAAAAAGACAACTTATCAACTATTCATACAAAGTTTCAAATCCTATTCAGACTTCTCAGGACTGACCAAGACACAAGCTCCATAAAATCATGCAGGAAGAAATGCAGATTTATTATGCCCCAGAAACAAGTGGAGTGAAATCTAGGTACTCATGCAAAATATAGCAGAAGAGGTTCAATATAGTACAGTAAGTGGGTAACAATTAGTTGATGCAGAAAACTTCCCAAGAAAATCAAGAGTAGCTTGTTAAGATCTACAAATAATCGCTTTCTCTCAAAACATTATGCACCAGAACCTTGTTGAGAGTTGCTATAATGAACAAACTTCTAAACATAACAGCTCACTAATATAAACCGGGGGATTAATTGATTGGATACCCGAGAACCATAATCTTTCCTAGGAACAGCTTCTACGACGATAGATAGGGGTCAGCTTTGTTTGGCATTTATGCCCCTGCCCTCCAAACAGTATGGGAGCCTTTCAGCTCGTACTGCTCACATTCCTAGATCTTCACGGCACCTCCTCCACCATAGTGTGAGCTGGGAGCAGCTCCGAAAAGCGAGGCCTACTTCAAAATTCGCTTTCAACAACGTCAACAACACCACAAAAAAAGTAAACTGGGGTTATTATTTTCTATAAAAACTAAAAAACAAGGTTTGGAACCCTACTCCCCAACAACTACAAGGATGCTTGCTTGCTGGCATCAAAGCCCTTCATTCTTATTAGTAAGATGGGGCGGAGGGCGCACAACTCATTCTATGCTCCTTTGTATAAATCAAAAGAAATTCATGGAGCATACCTGGCAGCATCACCAGTGTAATTTCTCGAGATTCTAAATGGAGGAGTTTCCAATTAAGAAAAGCAAAGAAAAATGAGCAATTTAACCAACACAGCACCTTGAGCATTTTCAGCTGTGCAACACCGAGAGAGGGTCAATGAAGGTAGCAATACTTTAGTTAATGGTATAAAGAGAGGCTAAGGCTACTCAACCACATGCTTTCACCCGTCACATAGTTCAAGAAATAATGTAGCCTCCTGCTAGCAGGAAGGATGGAAGAACAGATTGAAAGGAAAGGTCAAGGGGTAAATGTCCATGCAGATATTGACATAAGTATTTTTTTTTTTTCAGTGGCAAGGTTTGTTATACTTCAGTAAGTTTTATTTTGAAGTTACTGTCTTTTCTGTAGTTACTAATTACCTTCCAATATAATGCTTTGATATGAGACAATGCAATTATAATTACTTTATAAGAATTGCTACAGCACCTCACATACAGGTTGTAAACTACTTTGAGACCCTAAAATTTGGTTAAAAACATATCAAAGCTCTAAAAAAGAGAGTTATCAAGTACATAGAATCCTCAGAAACTTCTTGTTACCAGCACCACTAAAGATCCTGCACAAAGAAACTACTCACCTTCTTCTGCAGCTTAGTTAAAGCAAAGACAAGAAAACAGAGAGTAGTCAAATGCCGCAATATGGTCAATCAATTTGGATTTTATGTTCCACTTTGGATAGCCACAAATCAAAGAGGAATATAAACCAAAACTACCATGATCCTAGTACAGATACTTCTAATCAGCAAGATCAAATTTTCAAAGACATAACTCATTCTATTTTTCCACAAAGGATTTGACATTTCCCAGCCATTGGATGAGTTCAATTCTATCCTTGTTCATCATATACTCATGCAAAAAAACACAAAGTTCACTATTTACCCCCCTCGCTTCTAAGTAATCACAAAGCATCTTCTGAAGCTTCCCATCCATTTTTCTGAAACAACAACAGCAACAAAAAAAAAAAAAAAAACCCATAATTCAGTTTGCCCATCAACATTAAAATTGCATTAAACAAACTTGCTAGCGGTGCCTCATAACATACCTGAAATCAGGTCCCATGTAAGGATTAATAACAATCTTATCGCGATTTAGTAAGTAAACTTTCTGGATTTCTAAACGGTCAGGCCAAGCCGAGCACAAGAATTCCATTTCAGGACAACCTTGACCCTTGGAAATATCAACAAGCAAGCTAATGTGAAGAAGCACATTTTCCCCATTGCTATCTTCTCCAGGCTTTGGAACAAACACACAACCGTCAAACATAGTAACTTCAATTTTAATTTCCTCACTGTCTCCATATTTTCCCCTCATTGTCATCCACTTCCCCCCCGGTCGGTCTTGGACCGTAAATGATTTGAAACTCGTAGCAGGCTACACAAATTATAAAAATTAAAATTTAGGATGCAATACCTTTGATAGAAATCTTTATTTAATTAATTAATTTTTAATTTTTGTACCTGATGGGGAGGGGCGTAGTCGTGCTGGTACTCGATCTCGTTGCTTAGGATTCTGAGGATGTTGGTTTTGAAAGGCGATAGGTGGGTTTTGCAGGTCGCGTATCGTTTGAATTGGATAAGTGAAGCTGCCGTTGCGATTCGTGATTGGTTGCCATTGCTTAGGGTTTTCGAAGCAGAAGAGACAATTGTTCTTTGAGCCGTTCGAATGAACCGAGCCATTTTATTTTTTCCTGTTCGTGACTTGATTTTTTCCTATTTATGATGAATCGGGGTTAACCGACCGGGCAAACATTTATACGGAGTTTATTATGGAAAGTTCCTTAAGTTCTTTATTAAAAATCATTAAATAAAAAAATAAAAAAAAGATAGATTATAAGATTTTGTTAGTATGTAAAATTTTTAAAATTTTAATAAATTTTGAAATAATATTTAAATAAATATTTTTAATAAAAATTTGATAAAATTTTCTCATTAAATAATTATTTATTAAATATAAATTATTAATGATATTTTTAACATTTTTTAAATATTACTAACTTTCACAATTAACTTTCTCAATTTATTGATTTAATTTTTATTAAATTTTTTATCAAATCAATTTTAAGAAATAATTTCACAAATTTTATTTAAAAAATTTTATCTAAATTTTGTTTTTACTAACCCTCTACCTTTGATATATTATTAGAATTAACCTTTTAAAATTATAAATTCAAAAAAATTTATACGTGTAATGTTATTTTCAATCATATAAATAATATGATATAAAATTTATGAATAAATTAAAAATTAAGAATAATTAAAAAAAAAGTTTCTATTTGCATCTTATTTTTTTACATATATTTTTTAAATTTTATTTTTAAATAAAATTACTTAATTTTTCTTTTTCAAATTAACTCTTTCCAATTTTAAATCTCCGAATTTATAAATTCAAAAATTTTTTAAAATTTTATTCTCGTATCATTAAAATAAAAAATAAATCCAAAAAACTTATATGCTAAAATCAAATATTCTTTCTATCTAAATTATAATTTTTGTCAATTAATTTGTAATACATGTTTGATTGAAGAGATAATATATTTAGCTACTCATATGATCTCGGTTTGAGCAGAGCACTGGGCCTTTCTTTTTCTAGTGAAAAGACGCAAATCTTTGCAAGTTTGACAGTAAAAGTTAAATACTTGAGTTTTTATTGACTGAGCTGCGAGCCTAGTAGCGATCACTGAAGTTGCAACTAAATTATGTAACCGTGCCATGGCCTCAACTCCTCCGTAGTCAATTTCTTGGACAGAAATTGACTTTTAAATGTGCTCATCGCCACGTTTGCATGATTGACATGGCAAACTTTTATAAAAAAAAATAAAAAACCCATCAATCCAAATACGTCAAAGCTAAACGTGAAACTGACGCAGATCATTGCTTTCAGTGGCTTAAAAGTTATTTTTTATGATTATAAATATTTAAAATTTTGAGATTTTAAGTTCAAACGTAAATTTATTTTAATTTTATATTAATTTTATTTATTTGATTATTCAATCATGTAATACTTAATTATAATTATAATTAATATTTTTAATTTTGAAAAAAAAACTTTTAAGATAAAAAAATTTTCAATTCTCAAATTTCAAATAATTTGCAAAAAGTATTAATATTATAGTTTAGTTTTCATTAAAAAAATTAAAAAATATATATATTTGTTAAATAGTTATATTTTTTTATTTCAATACTTGAATTTTTTATGTATAGTTATATTATAAAATGCCATATTTTATTTAAATTTTTTTATAACTTTTGATAAAATAATAATATATTATATGTTAAGAAAAAAATTTTAAATTATAATTGTTATTTAATTGGACCCCTTAACTTGAAATCTTAAATTTACCACTTAATGTTTTTAAGTTCCATTTTATTCAATAGAAACCCTTTTAATCAATGCAGGAGATTAGGGTATGTCAATAGAGATTAACATAACGGATAATATTTAAAGTTTGGATATAAAATGTTTAGATTTAAATTTTTATAATCTTTTACTAATAAGTGATTTGTAAATTAAAAAAATTTTTAAAAATTCATAAATTATATTATGAATTGATAATTTATTCTGATTTTAAAAATAAAATAACTTTCTTTACTTATAAATTTGTTCTTAACAATAAAAAAAATACATTACATATTTTGGAATGGAAAAAAAAATGTTTAGACAAGGACAAGCAGCAAAATACAAGAACTTTCACTTCACATGTACAAACGAGATGTCTTTCATTAAGATTTAATAAAAGAAAAAATAAAATGGTGAGATTCGAACTTTTATTTTATATAAAATTTTTAAAAGTTTTTAATCATAAAACAAAAAACTGAAATCGTACAAGCCAGATATCACATTCATGGTTTGCTCATGTTCGTAGGCCTTCATAATCCATGTGACATGTTTGGACCCAGATTGTATATCTGGACCTAAATTGTTTTCCAGTTTGTGAGTCCAACCTAGACTTACGTGGCCGTAAGCAAATTGATTGTAAGCAGATTAATATTATCCACTTAATATAAGGTTGCTGTGGTCGAAAATTCAAGACTTGGCTAATTTAGGCCCATAACCTCTGCCGAACTTCATAAATCTTGACTTAACCTTTACATTTCCAATCAATGTACGACGGCTTTGGGCTAAACAACATGAGAAAGAAAAATATATATATATATGGAACATTTATGATTTATTAGCGTATTTTTTTATTAGGTCGGTGTCATATAATTATCTTATTAAAAAATTAATAATTTATTATATATTATATAAAATAACTAAATAGTAAATATTTATTTTAATATATTTATAATAAATAATTAATTTTTTAATAAAATAATTATGTGATATGATTAAAATGAAAAATATATATTGACGTGATATAATTATTTTATATAATTATTTTTTAACAATAATTAAATTCTTTTAATTTTTTCACAATTTTAATATTTTTTAACAGGGACGGAACAATTTAAAGATAAAAAATAAATTTTAAATATGTTGAATGATAATTTTTTAACATTATTATATAAAACAATTAATTTAATTTAAACTTTATTTGAATCTAATTTTTTTTATATTCGATTTCAAAGACACATTCTCTCTCGTTGATTGACCAGATACATAATACATTTAAAATTTTATTTTCTAACTATTTCATACAAAATTAAATCAAAATAACATTCAATTTTTTTTTAGTTATTTTCACTTGTTAATTAACAGAATTTAACCACTCTATATTCTTTTTAAAAAAATACTGTATATTCTCGCAACTTACAGGGCATGCGCGATCCAGTGACTTTATTCAATGTGGATTTTTTGTCTGGTCCCCGTGCAGTTCATTGGCAGTAAATAATAATTCCAGAGTTTCACCTTGGCAGTGACCACCCAGCAGCGTGTTTCTTAATTGCATGCCCGTGGGCTTTGCATTGCATTTCCTAGGCAGGCAGGGCTTTGATCAACCCTAGTCTAATGTAATTATTGCATGTGCGTGGGCCCGGAAAAACCAACTCGAAGCCGCCCACGGGGCTACAGCAATTTCCCTTTGTCTCGCAGCCGATTATTATATATTACTCATCATCATGATTTCTGGTATCCAATTCTGCAGCATCACGAATTTCTACTATTTAAACATGTTCTTCCCAATCTTTGATCGGTAAAATTTAAACAATCTTTTAGTGATTGATTTGAGTTTTTTTTTCCCCTAAAGAATCCAAAGTTGAGTTCAAAATTTTGGATACTGTCTAATCCTTAAAACCGGTCTTAACAAAATATCAATTCAAACAGGATTGGATTGATTTAAATCCCTTTAGTTAGTTTAAAAAGATCTTAAATCGTTTACTTATCTCCTAGTTTTAAATGTATATATCTTAATTATTTCAAATATATAAATTTATTTGGTGGCCAAGAAAAGTATAAATTTATTATGTTGGTTTTGAATCGTACTATCACATTTAAAATATAATATTTAAAAATTTATTAATTTAAATTTCAACTTCACCAATTTCTTTCACATTCCAATTTTTTATTTTTAAAATATATTGTATATTAAATAGCTATTTAATTTTTAAGTAAATGATATTTTTCTTCGATCAGTTTCCTTCATTACAATTAAAAAAAAAAAACAACTATAAAAACTTCATTGTTTCTAGAAAATGAATTTTTCAAATATACTATAACATACTTACATGTAATAGCTGGGAAAGAATTTTTTTTTTCATTTTATTGTAATTTTTATTCATTCCCTGTCTGATAATGATAGAGACATTCCTTTATATATATATATATATATATATATATATATATACGGCAAATATTCATGAGACATATTTTGTCAAAACCTGTAACCAGTGGCATATGAGACAAATGGATCGTTGAAAAGCTGACGAAGGGGTCGTGCGACCGCCGGTGGATCCTCCGTTCAACAACTTTTAGATTCTTCTACTATGTTTTTAAATTATTCATCAAAAATATTTTGGCAAGGAATTAAAAAGACGTCTCCGTTCCTGATCTGCCCCTTTTCCATTTTTCCAAGTTATCGGATCACACACCCGATCATCGGCAAATAGCAAAAAATACAGTATTAATTTTTTATATTTTTTTTTCAGAAAAAATTAGATTAAAATATAGTATTTATCTCAAAATCAAAACATATTGTCAATCTAATAAATTTTACCTTAAATTTATGTATAAAATATTTTCTTCTTATCCATTCAATTAATTTTTGTTAAATATTATATTTTGTCGTAACAATTTATTCTAATCCTTTTATTTGTTGATAATGAGATAAATTGTACTTAACGTGAGCCTAAAAGTTTTGTTGATACATGCATGATGTGTTTGATAATTGAATTTTATCAAATCTAAATAATTCATACAAAAGCAATGTAAAATTTAGTGATAAAAACTTTAATTTAAATCAAATAATTCCTCTAAAAAATAAAGAAGCAAATCATACTTACCTCCATGTGAACCTAAAAGTTTAGAAGTATTTTAATTTCCATTAACAAAAAGAGAGTAACCCAAGAATATCATTTTATGTTATGGTAGTTTATAATATGAGATGATCACTAAAACTATAGTGATTTTATATAATGTTTAGATAATTGTGTTTAATAAATATTTGATGATCTTACGTAATAATGATATTGACTCATCAAAAGTTATCGAATTACTGTCTTGAAAAATAAATTAATTATCATTTAAAATGATAAAAAAATTTTATTATCAAAGTGATATGTAAAATTAACAATAATTAATATTACATATTCAATATTTGAATTAAAATTTTTTTTGTTCTTCTTTAAAATATAATCATTTTATATTATAAATTTTTATATTTTCAAATTAATATTTATTGTAACAAGTTCAAAAATAATTTGTGTATTTTTTACTTTTCATTGTTTTATATTTAATATAATTTTTTTTCTTTTATTTTTAATTCAAATATTTTTTACATAATTTATATTACAAAATTAGTTTACCTAATAAATAAATAAATAAATTTCATAATTTAATTATAGTTTATTATAAAATAAATAAAGTATTACTACATTTTATAAATTATTATCTTTAAACAATATTAAAATCATTAATTTGTGTAACTATTATAACATGTATAATAATTTTCATACTTTTAAATAAAATAATATTTAATTTTTAGTAATATTAAACACAATAATATTTAATTCTTATGAATTAACTATTATTAATAAAATAAAACGATTTCAAATTACAAGTGATAAGATCATATTAATACTAAGATCACCGTAACAATTAAATTACTATAGTGATATTAAAAATACAAAACACTAGTTATGAATAACGATTCACTTACTCCAACGTAAAATTAAAAAATTTTACACTTTTTTTAGTTATTGATTTTAATGTATTTAAAGAATGTGATTAAATAAATTTTAAAAATTATTTCTCTCATCCTTTAAATCTATTAAAATTAATTATTAAAAATTTTAACTTTTTTAATTTTATATTTATATAAATTGATCCATTTTCTTAAATTATAGTACTTTTTAAGATTTATATTATCTATATTCTTTGATCAATTATAATGCGGTAATTGAGAATTTTCTATTCATATGTACAATAAGGTTCTACGCAAAGAATCTCAACCTTATCATCATGACATCATGCTAAGTTTGGAATGTTTTTACTTACCAATTGGATCTAAGTTATTAATGTTTATAGATAATCAAAATATTATAATTTTAGATATTAATTTAAAAAGTTTTTTTTTTAATTTGTAACCTATTTATGAATTTTTATTTTTATATTTATTTGATAAAAATATTATGTGCATAAATTATTTGAAATCTACAAATTTCAAACACTAATATAAATATTATATCAATTGATCTAAAAATATGTCAATAATAACTTAAAAATCTTGAATATATCAATCATTAGTAAATCAAATATTCGAATAAATATATTGGATCCAACTTAAAATTGTTGAAGATTATAAATAAATAAAAATATATTTATATTGACCTTTTCAACAATTTATATAAGTAACCTTTCCGGTTAAACTTAAATCTTAACAAACGCAAGATTTTTTTTTTTACAGAACAAATGCAAGATTTAATATGCAAATCTTGATAAAAACCACAATATAGTAACACAATCTTAAAAATTTGTGATTTCGATTCATAAAATACCAAAGCAATAGACAATAGGCTAAAAAGAATCACTTGATATTTTTTTATCCCTCTTTTGGATTTGCCAAACTAACTCCGTTATACGCCCGTACACACGGCACGGGATTATAAAGAAAACCAAAACAAAAAGAAGAATGGCAGTTGGAGTAAATAGCGAAAACTGCGGGGGCCCATGTTTTACTTTCCTTGAATTTCAAGCTAATCCAAATTATAAAATTTATGGATATTAATAATTAATAAATGTAAAAAGAAGGAGAAAGCCACGTCCTCGAGGAAGAGGATACTTAAGGCAAATGAAGCTGACGATAAGCTTGCTTTCGGCTCTCTCGATACAACCCAAGTTATAGATTCTTCCTCCTATTAAAATATTTTCAATCGGAAAAGAAAATTAATAACGGATTTCCCAGTTTACCCCTACGATTTCTCTTAATTTTTGCTAACGCCCACCCCCTGAAGCTCAGTTATCCTTCGTTCTGAATAGCGATCTGGTAATTGAAACGAGAAAATTTGAAGTGAAAAGCAAAGGAACCAAAAAAAAAAAAATGCTGTGTAGAATGATGTTGATGCCCCGAAAGAAGAAAGTCGGGTCGGTTCCGGTTTACTTGAATGTATATGACTTGACTCCAATTAATGGTTACGCTTATTGGTTTGGCCTTGGGATCTATCATTCTGGGGTTCAAGGTTAGTTTTTCTTGTTCTTTTTTAATTTTTTGTCCCTGCTTTTTATCCTTTACATTTGGTAAAGTTTTTTCTTTTTTTAGTAAAGCCTGTTTGGTTGATGAGAAAAATTTTCGCTAATTGTTCTAGGAATTATTTTAGTCAGTGAACTTTTTGGTTGGTTGATTTAGTCTATGTTCCAAGACCAAAAATTGAAGAATGCTTTGCTTTTTTTTTTTCTTTTTTTTTTTGTTACAATTAATTTTCCTTTAGCGGAGTGAAAATAAAACGGCAAAATCTGAAAATTTATATATAAAAGGAGGTTGTTGAACGTGTTACTGTCTAGAACATTAGCTCAGCTGAATTTTGACAACCAAATAGAAGTTGAAGTCTCTTGAAAGAACGAATTTTGGTAGATATTAGTATTTACATCTTTGAAGTAAGTAACTTTTTTTTCTAAAATTAGGTTTTGACTATGGTTGATTCTTGTTGTACAGTGCATGGAGTTGAATATGGCTTTGGAGCGCATGAGCATTCAGCAACGGGAATTTTTGAAGTGGAACCAAGGCAGTGTCCCGGTTTCACGTTTAGGAAATCTATTCTAATTGGAAGAACGGATTTGGGTCCAAAAGATGTCCGTGCCTTTATGGAGAAACTTGCTAGAGAGTACTCTGGAAACACATACAATCTTATCACCAAGAACTGCAACCATTTTTGCAATGATGTGTGTATCCAGTTGACAGGGAAGCCAATTCCACGTTGGGTTAATCGTCTTGCTAGATTGGGTAAAAAATCAACTATCTCCTTTTAAATTTTAATTCATAGATGATCTGATTGGTTTTTGAGAAGATTGATATACATTGAAGGGAAAGTGGCATGGCATTTTGGTGTTTACTCTCTTCAGCATGTTTTCTAAAAGTATTTGCATGAACTGATGCAACTGCTAAAGTCATTCATCCTAAAGTAACTGGTTGGTACCTGTCCATGATAATGATGATGATAATAATAATAATAAAGAACCAAAAGTTTAAGGGCATTTCGCTTTAAAGAAGTTTCAAGACAAGGGGAGGTGGTATCAGATTCCACCATACCTACTGAGGCGCTGACCAAACTCCTGTAGTGCAAGCTTTGTTGAATGTTGCTGTTGACCTGCTGCACGAGCACCATTCATGAATGGCATGCTCTGAACCATAAATGCCACAACAACCTACATGGAGGAACTCCCAAATTTGAAAAGACCTTCACTGTCAGTCAGAGTCAATAATTTCCTTTCATATTAGCAGCACAACTGCCATGGCCAGCTAATTTTTTCTCATATTTTTTTGCAATTTTAATAATGCATAGTATGTTTGATTGTACTAATATATAGCACTTGCTATTTTCAATTTCTTGATATCGAAATGTTTGTCAAATAGGAAATGATAACCCTGAAATTTACTTAGCTGTTATATACCAAACTTGATTTTGGCTTTGCTGGGAAAGCTGGAAAGGTGTTGGGAATTTTATGTTGGTTACAATTCACTATGGTAACTTGGATGCCCCATGTTTATCCAATGTCACTCTTTGAATGAGAATGAGATATGGGGTGAGAACATAGGTTGCATCCTGCTTTACCATGTAAAGTAAATTTGTTTTACAGAAAAAAGGGCTGAGTGCAAAATAATAGTTACATTGACATTGCTTCAGGCCCAGTTAACACTATTTTTAGTTTCTAAGCATTTTAAAGACTATTTTGTTCTAGATGAATTTATAGGTCCTTTCTGTGTAAACTAATGATGATGTTGCTTGTGATGAATATATAGGTTTCCTTTGCAACTGTGTTCTCCCTGCAGGGTTGAATGAGACAAAAGTTCGCCAAGTTAGGTCAGACCGTAAGGGTCAAGAGGTAGAGAAGAAGAAGTTGAGAAGCCATTCAAGTAGGTTTGTGTCTTCTTCTAATCCTCTACCCCCTTCATTGACCTCTTATCCTCCTGGCTCTGCTATGAACAGTAGACAAAGGCGATGTCTTCCATCATCATCATCTTTGATTCATACTTCTTCAACCTCAAGTTTGAGCGTGAAGCTTTAAGTAAGTTGGACTACGGTACAGTTTAATGTTTGAAATTTTGGAAGTCAAAGTAGATGAGGTTAGCAAATGCAAATCTTTTTTCCTGCCCCTGTTTTAACTTGGTTTAGCTGATATTTCTTTGATGGGTATGGAAACAGCTGCTTGGAAATTTTGCAGCGTTTCTATTTTCTGTAATATGGTTTCTGTTTTTAAGTTGAATGGAAAGATCTATGTTTTTCACACTCTTTGCTCTCTACTAACCAAATGATTCTAAAAGTTTGTCAAAATCATGTTCGGTTAGAACTGTTAGATGTTTGGTAATAGAGCGAACTATTTGTGTAAAGAATAGGACCCATGAAATAGTAGTCGGCTAACGTTCAATTGTGAATGATTATGGCCATTGCCTTCTAATAGTTGGTGTGGCGGGGACCTTGGTCGGTTTTATTATTATGAATTCGAGGAAGTTGCTTTGTCCAGATTAGGTAAAAGAAGTTCGAGTGGTCCCTTACTCCATCGGAAACAGGTTTTCCTGTCGGCGTTGGGTGGAGTTTCCTTTTCTACCCATTTCTTAGCTTGATTAACAACCAACCATTTACCTACGGTAGATGTTAAAATTCTTGATTGTAATTAGATTTAGGCACAATACTTTTTTCCAGTGTCAAAAGTTTTCTTTTTCCCTTCTTGTCCTTGTTTTCCTTCAAAATCCTTGTAACCTGGTTGAAAGGTTATGAAAAAAAAAAAGGCCCCAGGGGATCCAATTTTCCTCACATTTAACTTCAGCTTCCAGCTAGAACTGGGTTGACTTCGTCATCCATGGTATCCTAGAGCAAAGTAACAAGGTAATGGCCTATTGTGCTGTTGGGGCAGGGTAAAGACAAACGAAAACTGTAGTAATAAGGAATAACGGGAAAACATAGATGAAATTCATTGACTGATTAATTGTTTCTTTTTTTTCCTTGTCTGTTGGTTTAAGAAGACCGCATTTAAGGCTGGGATCATCAAATAGCCCATCCTCGTGAAGCAAGTAATTGTTTAGGAAAGCTTGAAATTCTAATCAAGGTTCCTAAGATGATACAGTTAAACAGTCTCTTTCACTCGATCAAGCCCATCTTCCTTTCTTCTTTGAACATGTGAAGATCAGCCCACGGATTTTAGAGCTAAAGCAGATCCAATAGTAAAAAGCCCACTCTTGTGCAAATTTCCTCCTCAATGAATTGGGTCTTTCTTGGATTGTAATCAAGACTGTTGTCATGAGGTCATTTTCAAATTTATATCCAAATTGGTGATGCATATCCACTTGTCATCAAAGCTTTTCTTCAACTTGATCTGATCAATGTTTTCTGCGTGAAGCACACCAACTCTTTTGTTTTCTTAGGTTCTACTGAGATCATTAAAACTTACTTTTTCTCCCCTCAAATTTATATTTTAAAGGACAGATTGTTTCATATTAATATATAAATACTTGGTTGAGCTAGATTTTCATGACAACTAAAAAAACAAAAAGCAAACGCATGTCGGCTAAGTAAATCCTAATCGATCAAAATCCCGAAAGCTGATTAGAGTCATATTTGCCGGCTGTAACTATAAAACCTTAAGATAAGATGACTAGCTCAAAAAAAACCTCATTTTCTTTGAAACCCTGCTGCTAATAGGGATGAACCCTTCCCGGGATTTTACTGGTTCCACGTTTCAACGTCTTGGCAGACCGAAAATCTTTTTATTGACACTTGAAAGCTACGGATAATAAATGTTTATTTTAAGATGATGTACATTGGGCAACTTTATTTTTGTTTGACTAATTTTACGGTGCATTGTTCTTTGTATATTTTTTTCTTTTAATCTTTATACCTGACAACGGGTATCTTTACTGTGTTTTTCCTACTGATTTTTCCAATTTAGTCTCTAGATGTTGCTTCGAAATTTCAACTACCTTACCATGGTTTGGTTGCTATATTGTGTATGGATCAACTTGGTAATTAAGTTGCCGTTGGGAAGAAAAAAAAAAAGGAAAATCGATGATGTAGATGGCAGCAAAGTTGATGGCTATGGCTATCCAAATCGCATGTGGACAGTTGAGATTGGAAAAAATTGTGTGATAATCTCTTGATGACTATACTTGCATAAATTGAGTGAAATAAACTTTAATGATCAATATTAGGTTTTAAGAATTAGTCTTTTATCACTGAGTCATCAATTGAAGTAGTAATACATATGTCGCATAAGGTGCTAATTTAAACTGCTACGTCATTTTGAATTGGTTTTGTCTTACTATATATATATATATATATATCGGTGAAACAGTTTAATTAGGATAAAACTTTTGAAACTTACAAAGTTCAATTTTGTCCAATGTTGTATGTGATTCTTAAATTTGATAACCAAATCGGGTTTTCGTATTGGAGATATGTAATGTCGGTTCACCAGTAACTACAAAGCCAATTGAAGCTTGCAAGAAAAAGAAGAAAAGGGTATTCTCCTTTTTTAAGTTGTTTGATTCCGTTTCCTACTTTAAGCAGCAAACGATAATTTAATTTATGTGGATGCCACTTAAATCCAACAACCGTTCACAATCTAAAAAGAAGTTGGCAAACTGCTTGCTTCCTTTTTTTTTTCAAACCTAAAACAAGCAGATCCCTGGTTTTCCAACCTGAACCTGCGGGCTCTTATTCCCTATCAACCATGATTTGGTGCAAGCACTATATTTTGTTCAAAAGTCCCAAATACATGGAATTTTACAGTAGAAAACCGTTTCATTTTTTGGATCAAACTAAATCTGAAGTACACTTTGGGAGTTGGTTGGAAATTTGAACCCACCACGTTATTGCTGATGTTCCAACGGTTGGCAAGTCAGGATTATAAAAATATTAGGATGTTCCCAATGATTGTTTAGATTGATTACTTTATACTTGTCATCTCTTTCTTAAATTTTTTTTTTTCCTTTGGGGTTTTAATTAGATTCTGATCTTATTTATGCAAATGAGGAACTATCCAACCACAGTCAAGGGTAGGCTTTGCCTTCAAACCAAAAAAGTTCACACCAAATCCACCCTTAAATAGGAAACAAGTGACAGCCTAACAAAATTTTATTCCGTTTTCATTTACAATTGAAACGCGCAAAAGTTATTACGGTAGACAATTTGGAGACGAATTTGTGCCTAATTCCGAGTCCCGATCAGGAAACTTGTACATTGTCATCTCCACGAACAGAGACCAAAGTAATATATACTTCAATTAAAAGAAAAAGATTCTTTTTTTTTTTTAAGGTGAAAAAGAAAATCTATGGTCAGAAATTCACGAGACGGATTGGGTTTCCACAAATAAAGGCAGCAGAGAGAAAAGCAGTAACGTGGTCAGACAATCAACCCGGACACAATTTGGCCATTTCTCACCACCTTTGATGCCGTTGTCGATCAAATACGACATTGCTATGTTCCTCAACACTCAAAATTCAAGGTTACCAACCGATGAAGTAACTTCCAGTTTCAGAGACCCAAGACAGGGTCAGCCTTATTGGGGGTTGCTTGGCTGGTGGTAGGATCCAAATTGTCAAAAGTTCCTAACATCCAAGAAAGATCATGAAAAGCGAAAAAGACCCACACCTCACAGGCATCTTGTCCTATGGTGGAAACTTGGAAATTTCCCATTACAACTACTGTTCCAATCAAAATCCAACAGCTAAAGCCAGACATAGAAGTGAAAAATAATGCGCAAATGCATACAGCAATTAAAGCAAGGAAAAAAAAATGATGCGCAAGAAAAGCAAAGTTAACAATTGCTGCTGCTTATTAAATCTGTATGGCATCTTTGATTACAACCAAGGGCTCGAACAGGACTATCAAATTTACTACTACAAAGTTACAAAGAAACAATAACAAAAATTTCCAGATAGAAGCAGGTAAAAAATGAATCTTTTTCAAAGCTAAGGGGGAGATGGTTAGATCCATCTATATCTCTTTATAATTTCTTTCGCCTAATGTAACTTTTTTATTGTACTATGTTCAAGAACAAATGGGTTAGTGAGAAATAGAATAGCGACATTATCAACAAAAGATTAGAGGATTGTATGAGAGCACCAGGACAAGGGAAAATCTTCACTTTTTCCAGGCATAGACAAGCAAAGAGAAGCCTGTAGGAGCACTTAATTCACTCTCTTCCACGCTTGCCCATTCCATTACGGAAGAGCTGCCTCCTGAAGAAGCTGAAGACATCGAAATTGAAGAAGAGGATGAGCTTCTAGCAGTTCTCAACAAGCCTTTCCTCGTCTTTTTCCACTCTACTCCATTCATGCCAAAACTACATGGACTTTGCTGCCACAAAACGACCCCGTTCTTCTCGCTGAAAGGACCCACAACTTCTTCAGCCCCGCGTTGCTGATCATCTCGTTCAAGAATTTCGGAGCCTTCATTCTCAAACTTGAACACGAAAACTGCATGCCCATTGTTCAAATCCTGATCAAACAACCAGTTATACACGTCCCATGAGACTTGTATTGAGACACCATCTACTTCAATCGTCTCATTGCCTCTAAATTTCCATTTAAGTCGCTTTATTTGCAAAACCCTCTCGTTATCAACGCTAAAACAAAGCTTTGCATCCTCGTTTATCCTACAATAAATGGAAATTTCCCTGCTTTTGCCTCCAAATCTGGCCTTTGTGTTGTACACTTTGTTGCCAAATACGTGTTCTCTTCTCAAAACAAGAGCTTGGCTTCTCCCAGGCCTTTGAGCTCTCGTCCTGGCATAAGCTTCTTTAATAGAATCACCAACAAGAAGAGTCAGTTCTCCATCAACAACAACCGCAATATAGAATCCAGAGTCGGGTTCAGGCCCGGATCCGAATTTGGCCCTGGAAAGGTCCCAGAAGACTTGGACATTAGGGACGGTGGTGCTGCTGAGTTTTTTATATCCATGTTTCTTCCAAAAAATAAAGGGTTTGATATGGAGATGAAAATGGAGGGTGGAGAAGGAAAGGGAGGCAGGTAGACAGAGAGGAGTAGAGGGAGAGTAGTGAGAGGAAGGGTGGAGGTGGAGGTGGAGAGAGTGGCCAAGGAAGGTGCGGGACCAGGTGAGGGAAAAAAGGCCTAGATTTGTATGGTAGAGACTTGTAGCAAGGTCAGTATTACCTGAGGTTTGTGGCGGCGGCGGAGGCGGTGGTGGCAGTGCTAAGTGGTCGTTGTCTGCGGTGGCCGAGGGACGGAAGCAAGAAGGGAAGGAGGAGGAATGGTGTTGGCGTTGGAGGGACATTATTTCTTGGTCAGAGATTGTGTAATATGAGTTTTCAGGGGTTTGGAGGCTATATATCATCGATGAGGCTTAAAAGAACGGGGTTCAGACTCTGAGACAGAGAGATAAAGAGCAGACAAAGAGGGAGACTTTCCAACCTGAAAATTTAATTGGACTTCAAAAAAATATTTCTTTTTTAACAAAAAAAAAAAAAAAAACATAAGAGGAAAAACCTCTAAGCCTCCAAAATATAAATCTAACACTCCTAGCTTTTGTTTACGTATACTCGATAGTCAATACTCATATACGGCCCATTAACTTAATCATATTTTTTATTAAAATAAATAACGTTTGATTTAGTATTCTAATATTTGGTAAAGAAACAAAATGTAATTAGAACAACATTTAAACTATAATTAAAATAATATTTTAAATTATTCTTAATTATATTAATATCTTATATATTAAAGGTAACATGATATTTGATGTTTTATCACGGTATAAATTCGAAATATTATTAGTAAATTAAATTATGTAAATTTATTAATGAAGTTAATCAGATAATATTATCTTATTAATAAATAATTATTTTTAAAATGATTAATTTTTTATATGTGTTTATATTTGATATAATGTTAATATATAAATTTTATAAATTATTAATCAAACAGATAATACTATTTTATTGATGAATAAATATTAATTTTTAAAATAAATGTAAAAAAAATTAATATTTTCTTAAAAACTTACTTATTAATGATGATATCATCTAATTATTTGATTGACGATAAGATAATATTATTTGATTGATTGATATTGTATATAATTAAATTACATAAATATATATTTTTTTGTATATCTATTTTCAGAATTGATAGTTATTTATTAATAAAATTTTATCATTTGATTTATTAATAATATATAAAATTTATATATTAATAATACATCAAATATAAACTCATAATTTAATGCACAGTCACCATTAGACTTGGCTAATTTGAAAAATTGCCATTAAAAGAAGCACGTTTCAAATAATCTATCATTGGAAGTGTTTTTCACGTCACCAAAAAATACGCTTACTAAATGAAGAACTTGTTTAATTAAACTGCAAATAAATTGAAGACTCATTCAATTTAATTATATGCAGTGTAAACAAAAATGATGTAAAATATTTAATCTGATCCCAAAGCCAGCCTTGTTGAAGTAAAAATTTCTGGTGAAATTTGTATAGGGATTGAATTTGGTTGTTTATCACGTGCAAATTCAGAGAAAAAGTCATGTATAAAATTAATCAATGATTGGAAAGACCTGGTTAACTTTGAACATTTCTCTTCAACAAGTCAGGTTTGAAACCTTAATCGACATTATATAATACGAATGCATGTGAAAATCAATCCAGTGAAACTAGAGGGAATTTGCGATGTTCTTTCTGCCAATTTCAAGGCCGTATTTTTAATTCCATCCAAGTTTTATCACTGTATTGTCTTATACTCTTGTTTATATTATAGGTAGAAAAATTAAACATGTTATTATCCTGTTTATTATTTTTGTCGCTGTTTTTCAAAATGGTATGCTAATTGATCTTGCCAATACCTAGAAAACTAAGACGTACAAAATTCAAGTTCAAGCTCCATGGATGGAAAATTCATGGATCGATCCATGCGCATGACACTGATGGGGGGATGGAGCCAAATTAGTGGACAATTTCAATTGGTCCAGCTTAATTTCTTGAACCTTTTAATTGTTTATATACCAATTGTGCTTAATTGCACCTTGAATTTTGAATTTTGAACCTTTGCCTTTTTCAAAATCCATGAATTTGTCTATTTTGGCCTGCCTGAAAGACAAAGACAACAGGTAATAGCACCTAGCTTTGTATTTTGCCTCTCCAGACTCTTTTTTTTTTTTTTTATAATGCATAAGACTGCAATTATAACCACAAGAAGTAGGAAATTTAATGACAAGGTTTTGTAGGGGAGAATAATTTTCTCGTTTGGAGGGGCCATGAAAGATTTTGGGATTTAAACGGTATTATTTTGAGGGTCCAAAAGATCATTTTGTCTGTGTTGAAATTAATAGTCGGCCTTTAATTTCAATCACCAGAAGCAAAAAGAGAACGTTACAAGGTTTATTTTCTTGAACCTATCCCAACCTAGCTATATTTTTCCCTTTTAAATGAAATTTCAAGTTTAATTAAACCCTCCATTATTCGAATTACCGAAAAAAAAAAGAAAAAGAAATGTTTGGAGAGAGACTGAGAGCAGGCACAATTACTGACAGGGTTGACGAGAATTATGTCTAATTGGACCAATTCTTTTTAAGTTTGGAACGTAACATGTATTGTTAACGAAGTATGATGCTGGAAATTGAAACCAAAATGACTTCAAAGAAACATCCCTAACCGCTAAGACGAGGATAGCTTGACCCTGGCTGGCCTCTCATTCAAGAGCGATGACAGAAAACCATCTAATTGTTCTCCATTTATGCAACATCTGATAAGTAAAGTAGGGTCATTGTAGTTGAGGATTAGAAATCATGGTATAAAATCCAACTAGCAACCATATCCAGCAGTTCATCGTATTTGTTTCTTTCCAGCCATTGCCACGTAACTCTCCAACGACGCTGGCATTGTCTCCTCAATTCACTCTGTGTCATATCTGCTTCAAATTCGGACAGCTGGTACGTCGATGTACTTTGAATTTTGGACCATATTTTATATGTTCCCTTCATTGTAGTCCTTCGCTGACCAAGAATGCAATTTCCAAGGCCTAATTGGCAGGATTTGGTGAAGTTTCCAGGAAAATGTTTCAAGGTTTCTTCTTTGAATTGATGGATATTGAAGTTAAAGATGTTTAGGGGGGGTGAATCAACATGAGTTATCAATGTCCATTTATTTTTTTCACTCCAATTTTGTGGTTTTATTTTCACTTGTCATTCATTCCTTTTGAATTTGTCTTGTAATTCAAGAGGTCACCAAAAACATGAAATCCGATCAACCGAAAATAAAAAGAAGAAATTAAAGGGGAATAAAAGAAAGCAAGTAGAAGCAACATCCAAGTATTTGTAATTCAGAAGTCAAAAGTCAAAAGTGTGAGGGAGGGAGATCAGGGAAGATCTACGACTTCCATGTCCGACCCCGTCATACAATTCAGGCTGATTATAAGGAATCATCAAGGATCGATGTCCGAATTGACCCTGTAATGCTTGCTGTCTTATAGTTAAACACGAACAATCTAAGCCCTTTGTTTCAATTCTTTCAAAGCAAAGTCAATGTTACTAGCCAATTACAATAAAATAAGATAAATCTTCTTTTTGATTACTTGAATCTGTGAATTTCCATGAAAAAAAAAACAAAGGAGAATCATGCTTTTCTTTTTTGTGGATAATTGGAAATTTGACTGCATTATACAAACTAATCCAGGTGCAATGATCAACTTGTAAAACTTGCAACCGTATGGAAATTTTGAAGTTTGAACTGTAGAAGACGGCTTGTCAAAGTAAATTGTCATGAAAACATGAGAGAAGAAGTTGACCCATTTCCTTGATTTGAGGACTCAAAAGACTTTACTCAGCTGAATCAATACGCGCTTTTAACAATGTGCTGACTACGAAGGGATCAGTTGAATATGAATATTAGTTTTTGAATCTATTTCTGCCCCACCCAAGAATTAACTAGCAACTGCAGGGAGAGAGACCAAAGTCCATTTTGACGTTTTTTTTAGAGTATATAGCAGCTGGTAACGGAAACAAGCCCATAAAAATTGACTGATCAAAACTCCTTTACTTTCAGTTATTTTTATGGCTCATGCACACAAATCAAATTGCCTTTGGTCTCCACAACAGCTAGCTAACTGCCATAACATAACCCAAGAGCAAGAAATTAAATTCAATGGTTGGTACTTGGTAATTAATTAACTGATTTTTCAAAAGAGAGAAGTATGTTCTCTACCATGTGCAAATATATCCAAACTTCAAGCTAACTCTTTACCTAAATATTCTCCAAACTCTTCCTGCTGATGCCTGCCAACTACACTGCCACCAAACACAGATGCCTTGGCATTTCTCACTTATTAATTAAGTCAAGCTAACGACACCTTGTTTAATTAGGGCATTTTTCAATCTCTTTAAGTTAAAAAAAAAATTAAAATGGAGTTGTTCAGTGTGGGAGCCCCGAGTGAGTTTGTCTTTGTTTCGAGTATGTGTACAAGCTGTTGTTGGAGGGGTTGATTGAACATTTGAACTAGTAAAAGAAAATGAAAAAGGTGCCTTTATCTACTATGTGAGCTCAAGTCCGGTTCAGTATCTGATAAGGCTGAGCCCAACTCTAACGTCCGTAAATGGATTTGAACTTTGAAATGATAATCCTGACTTAAAGCTGTAAGCCTTATCTGTCCTGATTGAATTTGATTTTAGGCCACACAGCTTTCTTTAAATAGCCCATTAACTAGTGATGAATGGGTTTCAGTATTTTGCTAAGTATTTTTCTGTGTTCTGAGGCTTCAGTGGGCACATGATGTGATATTGACTAGGCCCAGGGCCATCAATCCCAGCCCAGGCCTAAACTTTTTCTTTTTTCCCTTTTATTTGACCTCACAAAAAGGCCCCAACTTTTAACTACAGACGTCTGTTAGTTTTTTACCTGCAATATTTTCTTTACACCTACTCCTACATTTTGGTTATGCTTGGTTTGAAGTACGAAAGGTGGAGACATAAATTTCTTTTTTCACAACCTCACCTTCTATTTGTAAAGTAAAAATTATTATTTCCCACTTAGGGTCCAAGCTAGCCTAGTTTATCTCTTTCGCTCAAATTAATCATGTAATCTCATCCTTCCTTTAACCCCTCCAATGTTCAAACTGTGTTTAAAGTGAGACTACATGTCTATAGCATGCAGCTGAAGAGTTAACCCCATCATCAGTCATTGGGCATTAGCTATAATAAGAACTTGCACATCGACTTTTTCATTAGTACAAGCCACTTGTAAAGCATGCCTGGTAATTCTTTAATGTGCTAAAAGAGACAACTTAGCTTTAAAGATGAAGTTAATATTAGTATACCAATTAAGGACATTATCACTAGGGCAAGGCGTGAAGTTGAAGGAATGTGTTTTCATGTCATGTAACCTAACAAACCTCTGTCAGCTCTAACTCTTGCTTGGTTGGGTAGCAGAGGCGAAGCGAGACAGTAATTAAAGGAGGCCAAACAATGAATTAAATGGAAAAATGAGAGACGCGGATTAATTTTGATAGATTTAATTACTAATTTAGAATGATGTAAAAAATTTCGGAAGAAGCCGTGACCCTTGCCTGTCCCTTTACCCGTCTAGTACTGGGGTGTCAAGTGAATTAGCAACAAGAATGTGTCCCAAAACATTCATCAATGACTCCAATGTCCTGCCAAAAAAACACTAGTATTAAACTGTTACCACTTCAAACCTTGCTAGCCTTAAAGATTAGAGGGGGGCACACCTTCCCTACTTTTAACTTTATTTTCTTGTTGCCTCCTAAAAATCATCCATAAAGTGACATGCCATATTCTTCACTTTAGAAATTTTCCTTACTCCTTCAAACTGTGTTTGCACTGCTGTCTTTGATAGCCGATAGAAATGCGAAACAGTTCTAACTGCTAAAGAAAAAGCAGTGGACAATCAAAATGGAATCTGATGAAACCTTTCAGGAGATAAACAAAAGAGTACATATTATATAAGTAGTATTCTTTTAACTCCTTAAATGTGTCGAATGTAATTCTTTGATTTAGAAATCTCTTCTCTCTAATTCTGTTTCTTTTGGTTATTTTTTTATTTGAGGTCATTGGAATTTTAATCTCAATTATTAAAATTAAAATTTTAATGTTTTACTAATAGACCACACGACTGTTAAATTATTTCTTATAAGATTTATGCATGTCGCAGAGTAGTTTGTATCAAATTTGAAAACTAGTGAATTATAGGGCAGATTTTGCTCATGGGAGGCTTCGATATTATTGCATTGATGATACTGACAGTGAGGCCACTCAATGAAGAAAATGATATGTACAATTAATTGGCGCATAATGCCATTAAAGATACTAAATAATAAGTATGATCACGATTTACGGAAGAAAAGAACAAAAGACAGACAGAGAAAGAAAGGGAAAGGGGAGAAAGGGAATGGAGGAAGGAAGAAGAGCAGGTGGGTCCCCTTTCATCTTTTTCTTGTCTTTCTAACAAGGTTTAGAGAAGGAGTGGTTAGGACCTGAACCATGTGCATGTTCGCATTCACATGATCATCCATGTGAAAGGGAATGGAGAAATAAAGAAGAAGAACATGACATACGATGCACTGCACCATGAACCTAATTTGAAAGAAATTGTCTAGATCAAGTCTTGACTACAAAATTATAGGCCCTACCTACATACAAAAATATCAGCTTCCCCTTAAGGCAATTTTAAAGGGATTTTCATGCTCCATAACTGGTTGAAAGTTTTTTGGCCTTTTCAGGTTGTAGGCCACCATCCTTTTTCTCGCACTCCTGAAAAAGTATTTAACCTTTTGGATTTTTGCATGACTCGCTTGATCCAACGCATCTAAAAACAAAGATAATACCCCATTCGGAAGACAATTTGGGGTGTTTCTGAAAAGGGATTTAAGGCCATATGATTGTCTCTTCCCCAACATTTCCACATGAGATTCTATACACCATGATTGGATACACCATGATTGGTTTTGACTACTTTTCTTCTGAGGAAGATCTCACCTTTGACTCTTGAGTTCTTCCCTCTTTTTCACTAAGGTGTGCAATTCAAGGGAACCCTTTTACAATTTAGAGTTTGTACGATAAAAATGGTACTAAAACTTTTTTACTATGTTGATCAGAAGGAGCACTCCACTTATTAGACCAGACAAACTCTGTTATTTTCAACTTAGAACTTATTTGTCAACATCATTTAGCAAGAGGCCCAATTGCCATCAACTCTTTGATTAGAAATTTTGCAACAGAGCATCCTGATAAAAATTATCAAACTGTTCCAATATTTTCCCCATTCTTTGTTGATTTGAGACAGTATCACCTCGTGACAAGTTCAAATGTCAAACAGGTTGCAACATTGTCTTATTTCTGACCGTGAACAATTACCAGGGCATTTGTTGTTTAATTGGTGCTAATTAATTATACATGTAATACTTCCTAAGAACAAAAGAGCAAGTAAGGTATTAAACTTTAAATGATGATTGAGAAATCAAGGAGTAACAGTTAAGATACCATAAGGAAATGATTGGATTAGTTGTCCATAAGAGCCAAAACTGACCCAATAATTTAAGGCTCTTTGACTTGAATGATTATACAATGTATATATCTATGTGGAACAAGAACAACTCTTGGAGCTCTTCTTAATTATTATTATTAGTTTTTTGTTATAGTTATCTGGGAGATAAACCCAGAAAGCAAGACTTGATGTTTCTGATCAAGGTACATTTCAAGGGTACTCCACCCCTTTGAAGGGATGCAGAAACATCAGGGTAAAACATGATTCTTTTTTGAAAGCCAATAATGAAAAATATTATTAGTTATGATTAGTGAAGCGCCAAAATGTGTCAAATTTGCAAACTTATCAGGCAATTGATCAGTTCATAATAAAGTGCAATAAGCCCTTAGCAGTTACCAACGGATATATTAAAATCATTGTAGCAGGCCATTGCTGTAATTGGTGGAGTTGCAGCATGTTTTCTTGAGATAAGGAAAGTGGTATGTCAGGTTAAATATGGAGAGCCAAAGGCGAGAAAAGTTCAAACTATTAATGATGGTAAACTCACTAACATGCCATGATTTAATCACCTTTGCTGAATCAAAAGTAAAACATTATAATGGGGGTAAACTACTTTATTTTTTGATGGTTGTGGGGAACAAAATCAATTTCCAAACAGGTGAACCATCATGAAATTCCATTGATAGAGACTAGACACCAAAAACCCAAAAGCAAACATTAATTTTAATACTTTAGATACTTTACTATGAGGTTAATTACATAAACCATCCATGCAATTTAATCGTGGAGAAGAGGTGAAATTGCTCTTTGAACTATATTCACATAGGGAATTTTTTTTTTTTTTTTGATTCAGTAAAATTTCTATGCAACGAAGCTAGCAGGTGAATCCTGCTACACAAGTACAAAACAAGGAAAGAAAGGCCTGCAAACATGTAGAGCACTGACAAGCAAAGATTATCGGTTAAAGGCAATTATAAAACAGAAAGGAAAAATGTTAAGTAGGTCTGTAACATCTTCTTTAATTCCACATTTGCCCTGGCAAATTTGGTTTGTCTGTCTTGGACAATGGCTGTTGGGCCATGGAAGTGCTGCCTAATTATGCTGTTTACCGAAAGAAGATCCAGACTAGGAAATGAAAATGACTTGAGTAAATTCTCAGTCCTGTTCTTAATCGAAAGCATCTCATAAGAGGAAAATCAAATGAACTGAAGTGAAAAAAAAACTATAATAGACAGGTCAAAGTTACCAAATCTCCTGTTATAAATTCTTGCAGAAACTTTAGGGCAAGTTGATTGGAGAACACAAGAATTGTAGCTAATCAAGATGTTTAATTAATATTTTAATCAGTAAAGTTGAGATGTATATCCTAAGATGCACTAGTTTCCTCATTCATGGGCTGTTAAATTAGCTTAATTACCTAATTTAGAAAGTGAATACTGCTATTTTTAGCTATTTTGATAAACTTAGAATAATGCTGAGTAGTGGTTGCCAGCTTCGTTTATGTAGAAAAGAAATGCTTGTCTTGGTAAGTGTGGGTTTGGCTCGACAGGCTCCGAAACTATGTCTGATGATCATAATGCATAAAATATATATTTAACATGCCTTTCTTGACCTGAAAATCATCAGAGGAGAGAGAAGAGGAGAAGAAAAATAGGCCTAGTAAAATCATTAGAACACCCACTCAATCACATTCAGTGTCCCTTTTCTTTAATCTTTACTAGTGGCAATCCCCAACAAAAAGCCTGCGCTTAATTTGTTGAAAAGGAACCTAAAAATTCCCTTTCAAAACCTAACAATTGAACAAAGGTCGGTCATTTTACCTTCCGTGATCCATCACAAACGAATCTGATCAAATTAAGTTTCTATTGATTTTGTCTATTATGCTTTGCTAAAGCATCTTAGGAACTATGGAAATTCTCATAATGGTCGTGACTTTTGAGTGATGATCTTATGACTTGTAATTGCTTTTAGTAGAGAATTTCAAAAGAAGCACCCTGAATTCAAATTCATTATCACATTCAACCTGTTTAACTTCTTTGTTATAATTATTTCCCATCAATTGTGACAAAAAGAAGCATCTGTCCTTCACAAGTTTTCTAGGCCTTGTTCCGTATCAATAATGTTCTTTTTCATGATCGAAAGAAGTATCTTCCATGTTAATGCTTCCCCATATTCTCACCAACTCCTAAAGACAGAGTTGTTTCTATCATTATACTTAAAACCAGTGAATTATAGAACTTTGTTTAAGAAATAAGAAAATTACTGAAAAATGATCCGCCGATCACGCAAATCCCTGTGATAGTGAATAAAAATTTGTTCGATATGTTGTGGTTTATTGCTATAGGCTTTATAGCTCGACAGTTTGTTGTAGATATTTTGAAAATAATAAAAGGATGATGGTTGTATTGTTTGCTTTGGAAAGGACAAGCATGACTTTGCCCAATTCTAGGCAGCTAGCTAGTTCATTTGAATTGTGAAAATATGGCAATGAAAGTAATTTATTATAATACAGGAACCTTGCAAAGCAGAAGAGAGAAAATGGAAATTCTTACAGTTCATCCTCCGAATCCATGATCGAAAAGTAAGGGACAGAGAAGATGATAATATCATAGTAACATTAACATACACCATAACAGAGCTTACTGTACATTAAACATTTTCAAATGGGGTCACTTGGTAGACACTAGGACTTAAAGAGAGGGTCTACAACACTTGGGAAGTAGTATGTGGGAAGATTCAAGGTTGCGAAGAATGGGTTAAATTAGAGAATCAGAGCCATTTGCATGGAAGAAATGTAAAGGCCAGCCAGCCTTAATGAGTTAAGGCTGTGTTTTTCAGCCCAACGTTTTTAATGACCGATGAAAAAGAGAAAAAAAAGGAAAAAATATAGAGAAAGAAGAAAGGATGGTGCTTGACGTCCTATAGACTAGACATTACATAGTTCAATGGAGCCATAGTGAAGCAGTTCCTCAATCATTTGTTCAATGTGATCCTCTTCAAGAGGTTTGAACTGCTGGGTGCTTTCAACTTGAGCTTTCTTGACAACCAAATGGGCTTCTGTCTCTTGAACTGGCAATGGTCTCTTTTCCAGCAGTCGAACTCCCGTTCCACTGTCTGTCCCCGCAATGTAATTGTTGATGATAACCTGTGGAGTTGGTGTCTTACTTTGTGGCTCCTGCACTGATTGTTGTTTGGTCATTTGAAGTGAAGCCATGTAGCATTTGTGTAGTTTAGCTGTCAAAGTTGCTGAGAGAAGCTTGGATGATGATGATTGAGGTGCATTCGGATTGTAAGGGAAGTTGGTTCTAGCCCTTGGTCCGCACATAAGCCTTGCAGCTTCATCGTAGGCTCGAGCCGCGTCTTCTGCAGTTTCAAATGTTCCTAGCCAAATTCTAGTTTTCCTGCACAAACGAAACGTTTCATTTAGTACTGATAAGGAACAGAAAATCATGCCTGAAAGACTGAAACGTTCTAGGTTTTTAAAAACTAAGGTTAACTTACAAGAGAGGATGGCGAATTTCAGACACCCAAGAACCCCAATGCCTTTGTCGGACACCTCGATATCGTTGTTGTGGTCTGGCCATGTTAGTAATAATGAAACGTTTCTATTGAAAAAAAGTGTTTGTGGAAATGCCTGTATGAGCGAATTAGCAAATGAGGCAAAAGAGAGATGCAAGGGAGGGAGGGACAGAAGACTGAAGAGGTGGGGATTTTTATAGTTGGAAGACAAATGAGGTAATTTACTGTCATCCAATATGAAAATCTGTTGGGTCCCACAAAGGGTTGAAGGGTCTTACATCTTTTTTCTTTTATATATTTAGCTACAGTTGGAAATTTGCTGATTGTTCAATTAATAGGTGAAGGGAAATTTCAAACTGGCCAAATTCAGTTCACATGGTTATGATAATAACTTTTGTTTCAAAATAATAATAATAATAATAATTTTAGAATATTAAACTCTTGCTTTATTACCCTTCTTTGCTCATGAAAATCTAAGGTCGCATTCCAACAGTTTCTTCATGTGAATGGCCCTTGAGTTCAGATAACGACTAAAGCAAAACTAGTTGCTCTATAAAAAGAAAAGAGAATAAAAATGCTTATATGTTCTTGTGAACTATAAAAATCATTGAGCATATCACAAAATCACTTTTATTAGGCAATTTTGTAATGAATTTTTTGTTTTAGTATGTTTGTTGGAACCAGTTGAATATCAATTGGTATCATGTGGAAGTTTGAATAGATTATTTCATATACTACCAGCAAACCAAATTGTTCCCTCATGGAAATATTCTATGCATCAATTTGCACTGGAATGATTGAGTCAATCCTATGTTGGATAAGATTGAAGAATCTTGGACTGCCATAATTACCATACAAATCCAAATGATTTGATTAAATCCCACTCAACATTTATCAGATCTATTTGCCCCAAGACTGACAATTACCTGATCTTTCAGCAATAACTCAGAGGGCTTTTATTTTAATCCTTGACATATAAGAATTAATTAAGAAAAGCAGGGTAATGATTTAACAGAGGAAGTTAGAATTTTATACAAAATAAGATGGCCTGCTTTACAAGTGGATTATGTTCCTTTTCATGTTCATGAAAATGAATTTCTGATATAGTTGAGGAGCAATTTGCAGCAGATATGTGTTAGGCACAGCTCACACAAATTTTATCTACTATAATGATCTAAAGGGCTAGATTCGAATCACCTTATCATTTAAAAAAAAAAAAGAAGAAAGTTGTAATTGAGCAAATAAAAAACGTGATATTTTATTTCTATGGGTAAGAACAGAAGCAGATAAATTAGGTGAAGAATGCTGCATATTGCAGCAAATTTCAATTTCAATGTATAAGAAAACATAAGCATGTGTGTGTAGATTGCTATTTCCCATGTGTTCTGTTGAACCACATGCATGAAACAAACCTTCCATGCTTGTAAAGAGAAAGAGAGGGATCGGAGGTTGTCCTATTTTGCAGTTCTGCTCTTGCTTTAGCAATCACCATCTTGAAAACAGTAAATACCAATCTTCTATACTTGAACGTTACTTATATTTGTTTTTACCTTTTTTCGCCTAAGGTTTCAACTTTTGTTGCTTGATTGCTGATGCCTTCAGACCGAAGTTTCTTGATATAATTTATTCCTAACAGATAGAATGACATTCAACAACTATTTCTGAAGATTAATGCATGCCAAGTGAAAGGTAAGTGAGACAGTTGTAAGCAGCATTCCTCGACTAGCTTCTTTCTCAGCTGCTATGTCTGACTCTTTTATTTCCTTGTTTTAGGAATGAATCGACATGACACAAAAAGAGAGAGCATGTTCATGACAATGGTTTTTTTTAGTTTACTTCTTTCATTCATTTGTCGAGCAAATCTTGCAGCTCCACTTGTTCATTGTTTTATGGGTTTTTTTGGCAAACTACCAGTTTAACATATTAATTTATCTTATTACTAGTATCAGTAGTAGCTTTAATTTTGCAAAAACATATATAATAGCATGTTCCAGTGGAAACAAGAGGACAACACAGCAGCAAACAGCATGTAATTGGATAGAAAAGCTCAAAAGCATTAAGAAAAGTTGGTCTCACTCTTGGTTTACAGCTAACCTTCGACTGATATAATTCAATGTAAGAGAGGTCAAAAAAGGAAATGAGCGAAAGCCTATAGCTATAAGGATTAAGACAGATGACAAAAAAAAAATCCAAAAAGAAACTAGAGGACCTACATTGCAATTGCAAACGCGGTTAGCTGGGGCCCAAAAACATAACATGGGTGATGAATGATGATGGATATAGCTGTCCTTTACTTTCTTAGCCACGGTGGTGTAAGGTTTCAAAGGCTCAGCCCCCATATGAGTGTATGACAAGGAACACGGTTCTTTCCCTGTCTATTTTCACGGGCTCTTTCCCTTCAAATCCTACAACCTCACATGCACACACAGTCCATTGAACAAATGAGAAAAAAAGTACTGGGATAAGAACATAGAATATCTCCATCGATTATAAACACTAGTTGTTTTCGTCTTTTTATTTTCTTTCTTAGCTTGCATACACAAATGAACAGTTTTTCTTTCTAGTTGTTTACTTGGTCAAAAAATCATGTTTGCTTGGAATCAGTCAACGGTTTGATTGGGCCTAGCTCCAAGGAGTTTAGCCGAAGTACCAAGGAAGAATAATCTATACCAACCAACAAAAGTTTGGTTTAATAGATAATTTCAATAGTTTCGACATAAATGATTACTGGTTCCAGGATTATCAATGATCTTTGATTGATGTTAATCTTAAATGCACACACTAGTTTTATAAAATACATCATATTTTACCTTAATTTAAAAACTAAACAATCTATTAAAATGATATACAATACGGCTCTCTAATACTAGTATTAAACTTTTAAATTCTTCTATTAAACTTTCCTTAAAAACTCTAATTTCAAGTATAACCGCGTAACTATGTAGCATTAATTTAAAACTAAAATATACTATATTAGTCTCCAATCAGTACTATAATATGGAGAAAAAGACAGATATGTTTGTTTATTTCGCTGTATATGCTCACAGCTATGGATGTAGAATTGAAAGAAATTTGGGGGTTTCTTTTCGTTTTTCTTTAGGTGTTTTATGCAATTAGTCAAGGGAAAGAATTAAATTTGACAACAGACTTTATTGGCCTACGCGGTTTCATCAGTTACCAAGAAAAACGGGTAAAATTTTGGGAAGGTGATGTGATAGAATTGTGTTGTGTTCTTCAAGTAGCTGCCGCAGTCTAAGGGATTTGCCCAGGCTGGTCCTTTGAATTTTTTGGAACCCCAGCCCATTACTTCATCATTAGTATTGACATGAAAAAGATATATCCCCGAGTCTCCATGTGCATGTCTCTATTTAATTTGTCTTACGTCTACCATTTATTCACCGCCATATTACATTTAAAATTTTAAATTTTTTTTTAATGAAATTATCTCTCCATGGAAGTTGTAAACGGAAGAGCTGAAGATATAGTTTGTAAAACCAAAAACGATAATCAAAAACTCAAATTGAAATAATAAGATTTTAATGGCAATCGTCAATCGCAAACTAATGCCCAAATTCAACCTCAATATTCAATCAAACTAACCTATAGGAGGGAAACCAAAATTTATTCATGTAGTGATTAGCCTTAAAAAAAAATTTCTAGCTCCTAAATGGCTCCAAAAAAATGATGGTGAAGCTTCAAGCACATGCTTAGTAAACCAGTGGTAGATCGAAGTGATAATGAAGACAATTATGTGGTTGGACTATTGCTTATGCATTGTAATTAACTATTCCGAAGTTCTTTTGTTGCTTGGGACTTTTACATCTTCCTTGTATCTTCATTCCTATTCATGCTAGAAAGCTACTTGTATAGAATTGGCCGTGCCATGTGCATATAGTTTTTTAAAAAAAAAACTTTACAGGGTCTTTCCAAGAAACTCACATCTAACATTTGTATCGTTGTAGAATTTTTAGCTTCTTCAACATAGGCAATTTGACAATAAATTATAAATATTATCAAATTAAATATAATTTAAACGGATTCAATGAGATTATCAATAAAATATAATTTTAATATATCATCGATTTTATAAAATCGAAAGTTGAAAATTTTTAATAAACCATCGTCATGATCACTAGAATATTACATGTAAATCAAAAATTGAAATATTAAAAGAAATAAGTTATTCTTGAAAGCCATAATTTTCCTTCCTATAATTGCAATTAATGTTACGTCTCAAGATTGTGGGCTTTGAGCATCCATCAACCATCCTATCATTTTAGGCTTTGCGCCCATATACACCAAATGGGTTTTTGAAAAATCCACTTTAAGCCCATATGTAGAAAAAGTCCAATACAATCTCTAATTGGGCCTATTAGAATGAGTCTGATGTGAGGTCCATTTACACCACGATATGTTTCTTTCTTCACTTATCTTGGGCCTGTTGCAAAAAAAATCTTCTTTTTATGGAATTGGGCAAATATCTTATTTTTCTTCTTTATAGTAGTAATAAAATGTATAGAAAAGAAAAAGAAAATTATAGTGGTACTAGTTGGCTTAAAATTCTCTCATTAGATTAATCTTTAAAAAAAAATTTATAACCAATGGAAATGTATAGTAATAGAATTTCAGACAAGTGGGGGCCCAAAATCAAGTGACCCAAATGACTGTTAAAGCGGCTCTATATAAAAGGGGCCCATTTCCACATCCATCACCCTAGGGTTTTCTTCTTTTCAAAACCGGGGATATTTTGCTCATTCAGAACAAACAGGAAAACATAGCAGAGCGGCCGATCGAAACACCCCAAAAATGGTACTTTTCTTTTATTTGTTTTCTCATTTACATAAATTGATATTTGATTTGATTTGATCGTGTTGAGAGTAGTTGGTTCAATTAATCTGATGGTTCTTTTGATAAATAAAATTGAACAGCCGTCGCATAAGACTTTCATAATAAAGAAGAAGCTCGCCAAGAAGATGAGGCAAAATAGGCCCATCCCTCACTGGATTCGGATGCGCACCGACAATACCATCAGGTTTCTTCTTTTTTTTTTTAATTAATCTTTTGCTAATTATTCTTGTGTTTACCTAATTTGAACGTATTTTTTTAGATATAATGCAAAGCGCAGGCACTGGCGTCGTACGAAGCTCGGATTCTGAGGTTCTTGGTTGATGTTTTGTTGCAGCTTGTTTGTGAATTAATTTTAGAGTATTTAGTTGCTGTTAAAGACATTGATGACACAGAGCTTATGGTTTTGTATGTAAATTAAGTACTCCAATGTGTGTAAGGAACTCGTATGAGTCCTTTCAAAGATCTTATCTTTCGGATTCAAGTTTTGTTTCAATTATTATTGGAAATCATGGATTTTTGTATGATGTTTAAGTATAATATTGGTTGCTTGTTTCATCTGGACAGCGGTTGTTGTGTTCTTGGTTAATTTTGTCTTTTTTTTGTTTGTTGATTACATGATTGTTATGTAATTGTTTTTTCACTTTTGATATAATCTTCATGCCTGTTTAGTTTGTGAGAATCATTTGAGTTGTCTTTCAGATTAGTTATTTGCACCTTATATGACATTGCTTGAGAAGTTATACCAGACCATATTTTTTGTTGGGGTGCTTTAGTTTTGAGTTTTGCAAGAGAAAAGACATTTGATAAGAATTATGTAGCCCTTTAGAGTTATAGCTTCTAAAAGTTTTGACTGAAGATCTTAGAATAGTTAGAACAATAACACTGGTCTCCCAAGTAGCTATTTTTTGGCCAATGTCACCCAATTAGCTTCATGAACGTTTTTTTCTATTATTCTTATGTGGAACTTAGCTTACTTATTGCTATATCTGTCTTGCTAAATGCATCTATCAGTACCATAATCTCCAAATTGCTTTGTGATTTAGGCTTGGATAAATGTTTGAGTTGCTTCTCTAGAAAGGAAGGTAGATTAACTCAAGCCAAATCGTGGGCTTTTCATTTTTTCAGCATGAAATATTGTAAAAATGAATGGGCCCTGCATTACTCAACATATAAAGATGTAATATAATTTATACGTGGCATTAAGGATAGAAAGCAACTGATAGATGACCTATGAGGATGTTCAAGGCTGGGATTGCTTTCTTTATCTACAAGCTATAACCAGGTAAAGTTGCCGTCAGATTTGGCTTGGGAAGAGTATTGGTTGGTCTGGCATTCTTTATAGTGAATTGTCAGTGGTATGCGAACAGCCCTGAGATCCTGTATTTTGTTGATTCAAAGTAATATTCACTCTCTTGAAAATTCAGCCCGTCTTTTTTGTTTGTCATTCGCTTCAGCAAATACAGAAGCCATGACAATTATTTTGATTATATTATTCTGTCACAAGTAAGGGTGATAATGGATTGAATTGGATTCTGTTTGAATTTTTTGGATAATTTATAATATTATAAATTTTTAAAATTCGAATTTGAATTAATTTTATTTCGAAAAAGATTTAATGTGAATTGAATTTTATGGTTTTGTTCAATTTATTGGTTTTTAAATTTAAAATTTTTTATTATTATATATTATTTTAATAAAATTTTAAATAAATTTATATATAAAATAATTATTTTATTTTGTAAAAAATTAAAAAATATATTATTATATTTAGTTTATTCTTTTATGGTTTTTCTATATTTTGATTTGAGATTTGATTTGAATTTAATATTTATTTAGTATTTAAATTTGATTACAATTAAATAAAAAAATAATCTATTTGAATCAAATTTAATATTATAATTTGAATTTCAAATTAGTTTTTGATTTTATTTTTTCATTCTTAATCACCAGTGTAAAAGACATCTTGATAAACAAATTTAATGATCAGAACATTAAAGTTGATAATGTTTACCGATTCAAGTGAGCCAAATTACAGCCGAAATAGAGCTTGGTTTCCATGTAAATTAAAAGTAGTATGACACTGAAGTTGCAATCTGCGGGATGCATCAATTTCTTCTCTTCACTAGCTTGAAAAGAAGGGGCTTCTCGATTTCTTGTAGGGATCATGATCCAACGTCAGACACCGACGTGAATCCTGCAACATTCGGACGCGAATAAGGTCAACGATACACCCTACTTATCAGCTGACAAGTGGCAAATAACTATACCCCACTTTTAACTCTTACCGCACACCATTTTACAACTATATAAATCACACAGTCAGCCTCTCAGGTTGTCGATTTCAAAAGGCATTTCAATATTTTTAAGGTTTAAAAAAGATCCGGTTGATCACCACCGCCAAGATTTCACTTTTGACTCATCGACCCATTGTCTCTCTAAAATCATACTCAGCTGAACTCCTTTCTAACTCTCATCTCCTTTTCATATCCAAATTCGCTTTATTAGAGCAATTTCTGAAATTCCAGATGGCTTCGTCGGTGCTCTCTATGGCATCTGCAACTCCCTCTGCTTCGCTTTCTTCTCATGAAATTAACAAGGTTTGTTTGATCCCTTTCGTCTTTTTTTTCCTATTTTTGTTTTAGTTACTGATTGGTTACTGAGAAATAATGGGAAGATGTTTTCCATAGGGAAAATTCAATCTTGGAAATTCCAACTTGTGCTTCAAGAGGGAGAAAACCAATCCCTTGATCAAAACAAAGGTACTTTTTTTTTTCTACAAATTTTTATTATTTTATGTTCTATTTGCAATTGAAGATCAACTTTCCATGTCCATTATGGTTAAGCAATTATAATTAACGCTTTCTTTTTCCTTGATCTATCATCTATGTGGCTAGTAACTCTGGTTCTGTTAAAGAGTTTAGATAGATTGATAGTTTATCTTGTTTTTTTTTTTTTTTTTTTGGGATAAGTATTATGTTCATTATCCAAGAAGCAGTAGACTACTACAAAAAACATGGATGACTGTTCCAATATTTACATTTCAAACATATCACTTAACCCCCAACTCTCACTAAACTCCTGGTTTACATGATCAAAAGCAACACTCTTTTTGGCTTGTATGTCTGAGTTATTTTGTTGTTTGCAGTTTTTTGCTGGAATATCTATGGTTGTTGCTTCCAGTTTGTCTCGTTTTGAGGGTATAGCAATGGCTCCCCCTGATCCAATTCTTGGGGTTTCTGAAGCGTTCAAAGCTGACAACCATGAGTTGAAGCTCAATCTTGGAGTTGGGGCCTATCGAACTGAAGAGTTACAGCCCTATGTGCTTAATGTGGTTAAAAAGGTTGGGATTCTTTCCTAAACCAGTTGATACAAATTTCATGAGTGATGTCCTGCTTTAGGTTCTTCATTGACATAGCTTTTAGCTGCCAAGACTGAGTATTTATTACTTTGGCAATTAGAAATTGAGTTAAAATTAATTTTATTTGGGAACTCTTATTTTCTAGGCAGATAAGCTTCTACTGGAGAAGGGGGAAAACCGAGAGGTAACTTGATTTACTAATTTGCATACATAACTGAGGTCATTCTAATCCTTTAAGGATACTTACTATAGATTAATTTCGTGTACAGTATCTCCCAATCGAAGGCTTGGCTGCTTTTAATAAGGTGACAGCAGAGTTGTTATTTGGAGCCGACAACCCAGTTATAAAGCAACAAAGAGTAAGTGAGAATTTAGCTATTATCTCATACATAAAAATTCTATTTTAGCCATGTATGATGAGGTTTTTCTGGAGAAATTGGAGATGATTGACATTGGTTTCTTGTTAATTTATGTATTTAATTTTTACCAGGTTGCCACAGTTCAAGGGCTTTCAGGGACTGGTTCACTTCGACTGGCTGCAGCTCTTATAGAACGATATTTTCCTGGGGCTAAAGTTCTCATATCATCTCCCACATGGGGTGAGTACTGTCTTCCTCTTAAACTTAGTTGTGAAATGTGTTCAATGTTATGTGCTCTTATAGTTAATGAACTGTCTCACAGGTAACCACAAGAACATCTTCAATGATGCTAGGGTTCCATGGTCAGAATACCGATATTATGACCCAAAAACTGTTGGCTTGGATTTTGAAGGGATGATAGCGGACATCAAGGTCATCTTCTGTCTAAAATTGCTCACTGGAATAAATATCAATGCGCAATAAGTTAATTCCTTATTCTTCATCTCTCTTTTTTAAACAATTTATTCATCAATTACACTTTGCAGGCAGCTCCTGAGGGATCCTTTATTCTTCTTCATGGTTGTGCTCACAACCCAACTGGTATTGATCCAACTCCTGAACAGTGGGGAATAATTGCGGATGTCGTCCAAGAGATGAACCATATTCCATTTTTTGATATTGCATACCAGGTATTTGTTGCCTGAATTCTGGATATAAATCTTGGTTTTCAGGTGGTCTAAAAATTGTAACATTATATAGAATTTAGACAAAGGTGATATTTAAATGAGAACATCTTGATTTACTTTTGGTGATAGGGATTTGCAAGTGGAAGCCTTGATACTGATGCAGCATCTGTGAGGATGTTTCTGTCCCGTGGTATGGAAGTTATTGCTGCTCAGTCATATAGTAAAAATCTTGGCCTTTATGCAGAAAGGATTGGAGCAATTAATGTTGTCTGCTCATCACCAGATGCTGCTGCAAGGTGCAATTGCGCTTAATGTTATGGAATGTGATTTACTTTTCCTAAATTAAACTAACAACTAGAAGTGCATGGAAATGCATAATAGACGACATAGCAAATTTGTTTTATTCTTAGTAATTTTGCCAGGTTAGATACATGCTGGAAAATATTCTTTTAGTTTGCCTTGTCTGTGTAAATTCTTGGAGAGTCATGGATACTAGCATCCTTGTAATTGATGTCCTAAGCTTTTAGTTATAAGATTGGGCTTAAGTTTTGAATACGGTTTCATGTTTTCTGATGGATAGATGACCTGTTCTCTTTGTATTATTTTATAAAGGAATTGATGGTTATGTTTATTTTTACTTCTCTGAATCTGTTAGCAAAATTACACCATTAAATTATTTTTATCAGACGATTCAGACCAGCTTCTGATAAGAAGTATGTCTTTTCACATCCTAGGTTCCTCTACCATTGCTCCAATAAATTTTAGTTCAAATGAGTGACATCTTATACATAATTCAATTCTGGTTTCTACTCCGTGTGACTAGAAATTGTTATATTGCTTATGGACTGACTTAAATTGTTTGTCTGTTTCAGGGTAAAGAGCCAATTGAAAAGAATTGCTCGACCAATGTACTCAAATCCTCCTGTTCATGGGGCTAGGATTGTTGCCAATATTGTTGGGGATTCAGCTCTCTTCAAGGAATGGAATGCAGAGATGGAAATGATGGCTGGGAGAATAAAGAATGTGAGACATAAATTATTTGATAGTCTTTCTTCCAAAGATAAAAGTGGGAAGGATTGGTCATTTGTTCTCAAGCAGATAGGCATGTTCTCATTCACAGGCTTAAACAAAGCTCAGGTAATCCCGCCTCTCTTAACACTTGACTTACAAACTTTGTCCAAACCTGCTTGGTTGGTTCTCTTTCTGGTGAACCTTCCTCTTCCTCATTTGGTCATAGATGTTCAGACCTGAATTAAAGTGTTGCTTATAACTGAAAATTTTTGGAAAATTCATTTATTGCACTCTATATGATTGTGAAATATAACAATGCATGTCACCGTAATATTGTATTTATTGCATTCTTTTTCTTAACAGTGTGATAATATGACGAACAAGTGGCATGTCTATATGACCAAGGATGGAAGGATATCCCTTGCAGGATTATCTTTGGCCAAGTGTGAATACCTTGCAGACGCCATCATTGATTCATATCACAATGTGAGTTAAAACTAAGATCATGATAGCTACAAAATTTTGTTGAGTCAAGCAAATCATGAATAATTGAAGTGATTTTATGAAAACGATATTGTAATAATGTTTGTTAACTGAGCGTAAAAAACTCTTGTATTTAGAGTTTTGATTGAGGCTGTTTGCTGCCTCTCATTTTTTTACTGAATATGGGAATTTTGAAGTTTTTATTAATACAACAAACTTAGAAAGAAATTGATTATTATTTGTTGTGATGATAAAGATATATGAGCTAGTTTCAGGCATTATGGATTCGGTTCAAAAGGGATAGAGAAAGAGTGGTGTTAGAAAATGATTCGATTATCCTTTGCTAGTCTCAAGCATTGGTTCATACTCCAATGTAAGTGAAAAATGGGAAATCATATATATAAATAATTGTAAACTTCAAATCATTATTCTTAAATTAATTCCCATATTAATTGATCCATAATAAAAATCTCACATAAAATTGAGAAATCCAGGCGTTATAAAGAGTTGAAGAATGCTCCACCACATTCCAACCAGCCACTTTCTTCTAAAGCTATGAATTAGAACAAAATGCATGCAAATAATTAAAGAAACTTAAGCAAGTTTTTAAAAACTTGCAAGTTGTTCTGCAACTAAACTGTTAATGTCCGTCCAAGCTCCATGGGAACAAGAGGGATAAGAGTGCAAAATATCGGTCATAGGTTGTCTCTTCTTGAACGCATAGGTAAGCTATTGTAGCAGCCTGCCAGTATCCGAAATCCCTTGGTAAGCTAAGCATATAGCGTCAAGGCATTTCCGTGGCCCCTTTCTTTGTTCTTCAAATTGGTTGGCATCTAAAGTAAAAACACCTATACATTGATACATACCCTACCCAACCAAGCTTGATTGGTTCAATCACCGAGGGATCCACCTCTTGTGGCAGGGCGTTTATAACCTTCTAAAATTAAAAAATAATAAAATTTAAAAGAAAAAAAATTGTTCTTGAACACTTTTAAAATTTGAAAAACAAAAAAATTTAAAGAAAAATTTGTTTTAAACTATTTTATCGATAAAATTATTAAATTTGTGAATAATTTTTTTATATATATTATAAGTGAACACTTAAAAAAATTCATGAATCTGTCACTGATTTCAATTCAGATGAATTAAGATCAAATCAAATTAAAAATCTAGTGGTTCTGTTATTTATTTATTTTTTTAACTAGTGTAATTAATCTACTGTTTATTGTTTACCAACCTGGTGTAAGTGGCAGACATACACGGTACCTCTTATCACAGGATCCACAATGTTTCGCATTACATCTCCATTAGTGAGCAGACCCTTGGCTTGCATTCATAAATAGCTTAGCTATGGCAATATTAAATGCTTGAAATTCATTCTTTCTGTCAGAAACTATGAATGTCAGGGCAGCACAGGCAGCATTACCCATCTTACAAGAGATTCAAGGCCTGTTGTTCCCTTTTTTTTCTATAGCCTTTCTTCCTAAAAAAAGTTCCATAAGTACTACACCAAAAGCATAAACATCGCTCATATCCGTTAATGTACCTGCAAAAACAGATCATTGATGTCAGCTTCTTACTTGCCAGGATCATAAATGAAATTTGATTCTGCAATTGTGTCAAATTTAGTGAGCATACAAATGAAAATGTATTCTGGGCTATATAGCCTATAGTGCGTGAAAGCTGGATCCAGACAAGCATGATGAGAGAGAAAGTAAGCCTTCGCAAAATCCATGGGCGTTCGCAAGTAGTAATATTTTAATGTAAACGAAGGATTTTATCAACAATTGCACAAATAACTTTTGAACTCGACTCATTTAGTTATTGGAATAATAGTAACAAATTCTGGAGGTTTTGATTGATGATATTTGACATTTTTTTACCTTAGCATTGAAGTTGGAATCCAAGAGTATATTAGAGGATTTTAAATCTCTGATCAACACAGTCAAAATTATTTAACATTATTATTCAATAGTTGAAATCTAAGAAGCTCACTGCCCAATGCCGACCTTGCTATATCAAGAGCAATTTTCAATCGCCTATGTCGAGTTAATTCAGAATCCACCTTGCTATATATATATATTCTTCAATAAAACCAAAAGTCAAAACCTGAATTTTCATAACAGAGAAAATGGAAGAAGGGTGTAAGATTTCTACCATGCAATTGATTTTCCAAAGAACCATTGTGCATCAACTCATACACAACAAGCCCCGTTTCATTTTCAATGCTATAACCATGCAAAGAAATTACGTTCGGATGATGAAATCTGCTTAACAATTCCACCTCATTCTGCAATTTAAAAAAAAAAAGAAGCATATTAGAAAAAAAAATGGGGGTGTCAAGTATGGCCTTGTCAACACGTCCAAACCCAGCCTCACCTCACCCAAAATGTTAATATGATTCATTTTTTTTTGTCCTTTTTTCAAGCATTTTATAATCAATAAATGAAGCAAATCCATTCATAGAGTGGATGCCCAAAATTGGTGATAATGAAAGTCCATTTTCAGCATCTTATACCAAAACATACGAGGAAAAAGATGATGACCAAAAAAGTCCTAGACCATACTAAAAGCAAGCAATTACAAAAAATCAAACTAGTTGTTGAATAAAAGTGAATGTAAACATTAATTTTGACTAAAAAAAAAAAAAGAAGGTACCTAAGGTCTTATCATCATCATCATCATCCTGATTAGTTGGTTTTTGCGACTTATTCTTCCTAAGAAAAATCCACAAGCAACACAAAGACAATGCAATTGCAGTCAATGAAAAGCAAACAACCGTAAGTGCTGCTATTAACATTCTCTTGCGTGGTGGATCCCTTTTTTTTTTTTCTTACTTTACAAAGGAAATGATCCTTTAGAAACAACTTTAGAAATCCAAGTAAATTCAGTTCTAGGTTCAAAGATTGAAAAATAAAAGAGTAAAATCTCTATTATTTATTTTAAATAATAATATCCAATAAATTTAATTCAAATCCCGACGTCTATTATTTATTTCTCATTTTTCAATTACAATTTAAAAAAAAAATTCATGCCGGATTTCCTTTAGATTGTTTCACTCTTGATAACAGTTGTCCTATTAATTATTATAGCATCACAGGAATCATGTTGCCACATTACTATGTTAGATCAGATATCTTATTTTCCTTATTTAAATGTTTGCATTGACGACCGCTCGACTTACTAGTAGACATCAGCATACGAATTTAATTAATATGATTTGACCACATATTTACGCTACAAATCTCATTATCTTTTGGTTGTGGAGCCGTAAAAAAGAAAAAACCATTAATTTCCATATGAAAATGATTTTTTGGGACCAAAACCATAAAAAAGAAATTTTAATGTTGATTTTTTTCCCATTCTATCCTTTCAAAGATCCAATCACAGCCTCACACCACCCACATTGCTCCCATCCAATTCCCATGCATGTGTACCTCATATGCATAATAATAATTATCCTAAATCATTGCTCATTTGCTCTTTTTATTTACTAATCTTTTTAGCCATTTTTTGAATGAAGAGGCTAACATTCTTAAACAAAAGACAAAGTTGTGATGGTTTAAATTCAATTGAACTTGGATGCCGCACTTAGATTAGCGAATTAATAGAATTATGAAGGGTGATTTAAGTACATAAAGCGAAATCGATTTGAAAAGGAAACGAAGGCAAAAGTAATTTCTCATTTAAGTATGAGAATTCAGAGTTGGTCCAGATTATCATTGTATGAACAAGTAAATCTAAAATTGCCGTATGAAGGCAAGCACTTGAAATATGGTGCAGTTTACAAAAGATATGAACCAGAAACTCTGCTAATCTTTAGTCTTCACCCCAAAGGTATGAATGATCTTCAAATCTTTGCATATAATTGGGCATTGGAACTGATGTGGATAAGTGGATCTTTGATTTAATGGATGCGAAACCAACAATCAAATGGCTGCATCGCAAATGTGATCTTGATTTGCAGACATGTCAGCGCCCGCGAGGTAGTTTGTAGGGTCAACGAGCAGGAGGTGGAGTAACTCTTAGTGTCCCTCCAAGCTCCATAGGAACAAGAGGGATAAGCGAGTGGAGAACATCTGTTATCAATGGACGATAGCTTGGTTCTGGTTGCACACATAGCACAGCTACGGCAGCAACCTGCATAATTACAATTCCACTTTGCAGTTATCAAAGCTATAACATTAATGAAAGCATGCAAATCTGCAATGCTAGTGTCCAAAAGCTACAACCCCTTTCCTCTTTCTTCTTCAGATTGGAGGGCAATAATTCAAACTAAAGACATCCATAGTCAAGCCTAATAAGAACAAGGGATAATGGTAATATTTCTAGGTGGTTGCACTCTCAGGAACTATCATTTTACAGGGGTTCTCACCTCACTCATTCCTACCTGACCTAACCAATGAGACTTCTTTGACAGAAAGTGTAGACAAAATTTAAATAAGAAATGAAAAGAAATTTTTCCTTGGACCTTGCACTAAACAAAGCCTGGTTGGCTCGGTCCAAGTAATTTGGATCTAGAACCAAATCAAGTCGCGAACCAAGTAATGACACTCCAAGTGGTTTTGTCACTAAGTAGCTTACAAACCTGATATAAGTGTTTCAGATCCATGGTATTTCTTATAACAGGATCCACAATGTTTGGGAGTTTAGATCTGTCAGTAAGCTGTGGCATGGCCTGCATTCACAAATAGCTATGGCTTTAAATTTTCAAACATTCTATCTTATTTTGTGTGAACTAACATAAGAGAAAGGCATACCCATGTGACAATCGATTGGCACTGAGCTGGTGCCAGTTTTTCAACAGGCTTTCTTCCCAATAGAAGTTCCAGCAGCACAACACCAAATGCATAGACATCACTCTTATCTGTTAATTTACCTAGAAAAGCATATAATAGATTTAGGCTTTTTATGAGGAATTATAAACTTCATCAAGCAGATAAAAAATATATATTCACATTGAAAGTGAATTCAGTGCTTCTAATATGCCATTTCCAGCCCCGGTTTCCGAGAAATTGCAGAACATCACATATAATTCATAATTTGGACCTCTTCTATCTCTTAAGATGACAATTAAAATCTTTACGCTCATGTGAAGCCATCTTAGAATAAAAGAAAACAACATAATTAGTTCAGATGCCTTCTAGTGGCAGCACGTGTGAAAAGAGTGACTAATCTATAGCATATATTTATTGAGATCAGAACATGTAAAAACATAATTGAAGTCTCTAAGATCCAGAAGTTCTTTTTATTAACTGCTAAAAACGGAAGAGAAACCATAGAATAATATGAATAACAACTTAACAGAATTGAATGTACAATTATAGCCGATTTAGTGTACATACCATCTAAAAGGTATTCTGGGGCTATATAACCTAAAGTGCCTGACAGCTTCAAATTATTCTTGTTTTGGGCTGCATCAGTTACTGCAAGACCAAAATCTGAAAGCTATATCCAAACAAAATGAAAGAAAGTGAGCTTCAAAAAATTTATTAAAAGAAGACATTAATAATGTCCAGCAGCATTAGTACAAACACAAAAGTATTAATACTAACAAAAAGTACATCTAACAATCAACATTTTAGTTATTACCTTAGCATTGAAGTCAGAATCCAAAAGTATATTAGATGATTTCAGGTCTCTATGGATGACTGGTGGATTGCAATGCTCATGTAGATATTCTAATCCTCTGGTCAACAGTTGAGATTTGTTTTAATATTATTCATTAACTAAGAGCAATAACTAAGATCAAACAAAACCTCACCTTGCTGTGTCCAAAGCAATTTTCATCCGCCTATGCCATGTTAATGACAACCCTTGTGAAGGTCCTACAATATAATTAAAATTATTCCATTCTCTTCTTCATTTTTCTTAATGAGAGACAAAGAGAGAGAGTTCTTACCATGTATTTGAGTTTCCAAAGAACCATTTTGCATCAATTCATACACGATAAACCTTGTCTCATTGTCCCGGCTAAAACCCAACAGTGAAATTATATTCGAATGCTTAAATTTACATAGCAAATTCACTTCATTCTGCAATTCCAAACAATGACTCAAGATCAAAATAAAATCCTAGAAAATACATAAAAAGAACTGATCAAATTTTAAAAAAAAAAAATTTTATTGCATAAACAATACCTCAAATTCTTTTTCTGCATCCTGGTTTGCACAGTCCAACTTCTTAACAGCAGCATAAGAACCATCATCAAATTGAGCCTTGTAAACACATCCAAATCCACCCTCACCCAAAATATTACCTTGATGAAACTTGTTTGTAGCTTTTTCAAGTATCTTATAATCCATAATAGAAGCATAAGCCTCCTTGGAAACCATCCTCATAGACTTGAATTTACCCAAAAATGGTGCAAAACCAGTCCCTCTTTCAGCATCTTCCAATTACAAACCACAAAAAACAGGGGAAACAGAAATAAAAAAAATCAATTTCTAAAGCCAACTCTCAAAATTCCAGAACTATGAAGAATGACTGAATTGGGTATGGGCTCAAAAGAAGATACCTGAACTTTTAGCATCATTCTTGGTGGATTTGTGTGAATTCTTCCCGTAACAAATCCATAAACAAAACAACGAAGAGATAATTACACCCAAGGAAGAGCAAGCAAGAATGATAGCTATTAACATTTTCTTCGGTGGATCCATTTTTTTGTGCTCCTCACTTCCCAGTTGAATCCCTGCTATTTCATTAACCACTGTATAGAGTTAAAAAGTACAACCTTTTTTTAGCAAAACAAAAGAAACTTCCTCCAAGGCAGCATTAAACAGAGAGATAAACAGGGTAGCATCTTCATCACTAGAATAAATTTTGAAAATAAAAAAAGATTTTGCATTAACTGGCATATGATTTCCATGAAGAAAAAATCCTGTTCACATTCAAAGTATTAAAAGCACCGAAATCTGTGGTCGTTTTTAAATTTTGAAATTTCCTTTTTTTGGAAAAAATTTGAACTGAGATAAGGGTCTTACATCTAACCAGAAACAAACAAAAACGATTTAAGTTTGACACTAGCCAGTCGAGAAAAACAAGTAGTTTGTGTCGACTAGTTAACAGAGTGGAAACAAAAGAAAAGGCAAATGGGCAGTTTCAAAAGCAAAAAGAAGCCTAAAAACGAAGAAGTAGTACCTGGAGAGAAGGCAGACATTGAAGCAGAGAGAGGACTAGAAATGGGTGAAGAGACAGGGGACACAGAAGAAGCAAGAGGGCCTTGCACGGCAAAAACAATAATGGTTTCAGGAACAGAAACAAGTGAAACAAGGAAAAGAAAGAGAGGCAGAAACTTCTTCATCCCTTGTTTCTTTGCAAACAATAATAATAGGAGTAATACTTTTTACTATTACCAGCAATTATAAATTTTCAAGAAAACATGAAGAAAGAGATATATGAGCAAAGTCCCAGGCTTAAACCTTTGCTGGATCAACTTAAAAAGGACAGAGAAAGAGAAGGGCTTTTTTTTTTTCAGATGTTGTGGGATCACTTTGGCTGTTTTTCTTTTTGCTTTTTTTTTTTTAATCTCTAAATTTTGTAATACTTTATGGCTCTTCTTTTTCCTGTCTTTATTTTAAGACGTAGAAAAAGCAAAAGAACGCAGAAGAAAGTTGTTTATGTAGCAAGTGGGGGCAGTCTCACAATACAATCATGTGGGGAGTTAATGATCCAAAACAAAAATAATAGTACTACATTACTACTGCTCTGCCTCCGACAGGCTGAGAGTATAATTTTTATTTGCTCACTTGAGCAGTGATTTGTGTATTTATTTTAGGTAAAATGTTAAATTTTATGTATTTATATTATATTTTATATAAAAATTATTTATTATAAATTATATTAATATAAAAATATAAAATATATATTTTAAATTTTATTAAATTTATATATAATTATTATTAAAATTTTAAATTATATTATTTTTATATTATATTCATATCATATTTTAAATATTATATTTACATATGTTCTTCAAAATTCACTTTAAAGAAACAAATCAAGAAAAAGTAAATTTTTGTTCTTTCTTTTTTTTTGGGGGGGGGGGGGGGGGAGGGGAGGTGTTTGCTTATTGTTGAGAAATTACGTAAATGACAAAGAAATAAAATTTTTTTTAGGGTTTCTTAAGCATTAATCCCAAAGAAAAAGGGCAAACTCTTCATTTTCAGGTTACATTCACTTATTAAAGTGCTTAAATTTAATATAAATAAATATGTTTTAATGTTTTCTTAATATGTATGCTAAGAATTAATATCTGAAAATGTTATTCAAAGGATGTTATCACGTTGTTTTCTTTTATTTATATCTTCATAAATATAGATAAATATCAATTTGAATTTTTAATACAGGTTTTTTTTTTTCATATCGAGAGAGTGCTATTAATTTTCAAGGAAGAAAAATGGTATAGTGTTCTAAATTTTGAAACAAATATGCAAGGTTTGATTTAACATTAATTCGATGCTATTGGCTATCATAGCAGAAATTTCATGCTCCAGAAAAAGGCTTCCAGCATTATTTATCACTTTTGTAATTGCAAAGCTAAAAGAATGTAACCCTATCTAGGCACCTACTCTCGCACTCAACAGACCATGTCGCCTATCTCTTCAAGGCCTCTCAAGTTCCCTGTTGTTTAGTTTTTACTTCTATCACGTTTCTGGAGAAAATTGGCTGTGAGAATAAATCAATTTTTAACTCGAAAACCAAAATCCCAACCCCACAATTTTGGCTGAAAGAAAACCATATTTGACTTAAAAATCAGTAAGAATTGACTGGCTTACTTAAAATCAAGACCACCGATCCTTCCTAGCCTGTCTACAACGAATGTATATGCGTACATCCCACCAAGAACAGCTTTCTCACGTGTTAGGTGGATAGTGTGTTTGAGTGCCCCCAAGACCCACGCCAGCTTTTTCATTTTTGTTCATTTTTTTCCTTTCATTCATTCAAGTTTGGTTATGAGACACCCACATCTATCATGCTAAACAAGGCAAGCCAGGTGCTCAAAATTCTTGTCAAGTTTTACTCATCAAATGACTTTGGCAAAGATCTAAGGGTGGTTAAGCTTCCCCATCAGATAATTTTACCTCAACTTCTTCTCATGTAATAACACAAATTTTATGCCTTGGACAATTATAAGAGAAGACAAATTACCTCATCCTTCCACGGCACCCCATATGATTTGGTTTTCGTTTCAGTCTGTTTCTTAAATGTTGTTAAGCTCAAATACCCAGATGAACAAGAACGGAATTTTCTATTGTAGCCTGACAGTGATTTTTCTCTTCTTTTCTCACATTGAAATTGAAAAAAGAATCTCCAATAACATTTTCTTCCTTGAAATGAGGGAATTAAATTTATAAATATGATTTGGGTTACCATATGATGACTGGATTAATTGGTGGGAAGAGAATCAACTTGTTTTTCTATGCAAGTAAAATCGATTTTTTTTAATATATGTACTTGATTGGACTTTAAATTGCCTTATTGAGCAACGGCAGAATTGACAACGATGTCAATGTTGTACAAGAAATCGGATTAGAAGTTGCTCTCCAAGAGTTATAAGTCAAAACTATAATGCCTTTCAACGAGTAATTTGCAATTATGTATATAATCCCTTCCACCTAATTTTGTGAGATGAAATCTTAACAGTCTTTTACTCTATAAAATGACCTCTCCTTTCAAATTTTCTTTTGTTTAGTTATAATTGCAGAGTGCTTAATATATTAACATTTACTTAAATCTATCGTACATATATATATATGTCACATACCTAACCCTTAAATTACGATTATTTCATATATTAATATTTTTTTATTTAATATTATCAAAATTTAAACTATAATCATTAAAATTAAATTTTTAATATTTTATTAATAGATCACACGATTATATATATTAATCATTTAGTATTGTATGTATTAACGTAGATTTTTTTTTTACTTGTTACATGTAGGACAATATTCCTTAACGTAACACTTTACATAGATGAGCAAATGACCCTACTTTATAAAAGCTACAATTACTAAAAGACGTCGAGCTTTAAATTTTTGGATCATTTGATTGTAAGATTCTTATGGTATAATAAATTTATTAACCTTTTGAACAATTAAATCTTTTCCAAATAAAAAGTTGATCAAGCGACAAGTTTATGAATATTAAATCAAGAAGAATGAATCATGTGGACAATATTAGGTTGAAACTTATACAAATTGTACAAAGTTGCAAGAAAGTATAATCAAGTAGTTAGAAAGTCTGTACATATTTTTAATCTAAACCCAATTCTTTTTTCGTCAATGTTTAGTGGATATAATTAGCAAGGCTTGTCCAGATTGTATTGGATTAAGTAGACTCCTAAATATAGCAGTTGTGTACTTACTTCTTTTTTTATTGTCTGAAATTTAAATTTTAACATTCTTAAACTATAATTTCTTTTGTACAAAAAAATAAAATTAAATAATTTTTAATCAATAGCTTTTTTGCATATCAATTAGTAGGCCATTGGGCATTGGTGCCTCAGCTAACTTGCAGGATCAGTAAACAATTTAATAGAGATTGAATTTTGACACCATTGATTAAATACAGAGAAAGAGAAAGGGGAAAAGAAAAGTAATAGTAAATTAGAGGATAGACACTCACGATCTTGAATTATTGATAGATATTAGAAAGCATTCCTTCAGTGTACATGCATGCATGTGGGTTACGTATGCATTAGGAGAAAAATAAGAGTTCTTCTGTCAGAAAATTTCCCCATTTACAGTAGACATTCTCAAATCTCAACACATGCAATGTTGGCAATTAATCTATTATTACAAATAGGTAAGGGCAAAATATATTCACAAGAGTTAGAAAAAAAACAGCAATATCACAAAATTCTCAACCTGTGAAATAAAGTAAGCCTTAAAAATGGGATTAGAACCTTGAACTTGTATAAGCTCAAGGCTAGAATAGAAATCAATGTTATGTTTGCCTAAAAACCAAAATAAGACGCAAATTTATTAATTCAAATATCGAGTTATAGCAGTTTTGTATCTAAATTGATTCTATTTCATTAAGACTCACTTTCAATGTCTTAGAACGGAAGAAAATGGATTTAACTTTCAGGTAGGTAGCTGAGGAACCTTCTATAAACCACAAATTTGCATTGGGCTGGAAACAGTGGCTGCATGTTGAAGATTCATCTATGTGAAGACTTATTTTGTGTCAATCTTTTTCCTGAAAATTGGTACTGATGGTGAAATTGCTACTCTTCATATCATATCGCAAGTGTCAGCATAATTGGTGACATCCATCTTCTATGAAGAATTTGTTTCTTTATTGGAAAGAAAATGCATTGTAAGAAAGTAAGGACAAAATTTTCAACAACAATATGAATTCATATACATTGAAAAAGTGAGATGGTGAATTTGGACGTGTTGTTAAGGACATAGAAATAACTTAAATTAATGTTTTTTTTATGATAATGGAATGAGGTTTGCTTGACAGATTATTAAACTAATACCTTTTTTTATAAGAAGTATATGCTGAAATTTAGTATTTATGCCAAGTTTTTTGCAAAGATATGACTTAATGAAATCTTAAAAATTCTTCTAGGAGATTATGATTATTTTACTTCTACAACAAACGAAAACCTTTAGCAGGTGCAAGGAAAACCAAAACTTGTTATATGGACGGAATATATAAGAAACTGAAGATAGAAATGAATAAAAAAAAAAAGGAATAAGATGATTTGGCAGGGGAAGAGTTTGATGTAGCAAAGATCGGCTGTAGATAAATGGATTTTACGAAGCTTTTTTATGTGGTCGCTGTCTTGGTGATCATGGTTATCAAACGAGGTAACTAACCTCATGTGCCCTTAAATCACGTCCATGGAAATATGTGTGAGCTACCAAGACTTGGTTCCTCATATGTTTGATGTGTGTGTGTGTGTGTGTGTTTTTTTTTTTCAGTTGTAAATTTAAACTTAATTAATTTTTATTCTTTTGGGTTTTTTTTTTTATTATTAGATGGTGAATAGAATTTGTTTTGGTCATCCTCGACAGCCCAACACCATGTTTCTCACAAAGCTCTGGACTTTGCATAAGCCCAAAGCTAAACCAGAAGCTTCGTTCAAAGTCCAACTTTTGAAGTCCAATTTTCCTAAAGACCAAAATTTTGGCTTTAATTTTGTTTTTCTAAAGAGGCCCAAGCTATCGAGTAAATAAGAGGAGTAGAAAATTCAGTTAGTGGTTTTTTTTTTTTTTTCAAAGGTGGAAAGTTCAAAATGAAATACTCTTAGAATAATATTAAATTTGAAAAGGAAGAGAGTACGAGGATATAAAAATGTGAAAATTTCATGGTGAAAACTTCAATATTAACAACAAAAATAGTAAATACTTTGCAATTTGCTTGGAAACATCGATGATTGAATTTGAGCTCTCTATTGTATTCTACCAAGAATACAAAAAGTTTTAGAGACTTAGACCAATAATATCCTAGTGTTCTTGTGTTCAAAGATGAAATGAAATCGGACAAAACATATTGACTCCAATCATACCACAAATAAGTACTTCAAAACAGAAAAAACTAAAGCTATGGCACATATAAACAAAAAGGTTGCACCACTTACTTGGCATTCATAATTACCGAGAATAATCGTGTCAAAAGTGTAAAATTTTTTATTTTTAATTTTAATGATTAAATTTTGAATTTGAAATCTTTAAATATAAAAAATAAAAGTTAACATCATGAATATTTTTAAAGTATTTAATGTGATGTTTAAAATTTAAAAATTTTTAATATGATACTTGAATTATAAATTTATTAATTAATATAATACTTATATTTAATAAGATTAGTTTCAAATTATAATATATAATAAATAAATAATACTTAAAATATTATATTAATTAATAAATTTATAATTTATATACAAATTAAAAGCTTTTAAATTTTAAATGACATATTAAATATTTTATTATAATTTAAAAATTATTCATAATATTTAAGAATTGATGTAAATGGTGTGATAGATTGTCCACAAACACCAAAAAAATTAGAAAACAAAGAAATTAAAAGAAAAACCTTTTAGAAAACCTTAAAATTTTCTTCTAAACCCTTTAAAAATTAAAAAATTTCAAATTTAAATTAATATTTTAAAAATATTTTATATTTTTATTAATAAAATTAATAAATTCATTGATAATATTTTATATGTTATAAATAAATAATTTTAAGAAAAATTTTAAAACCGGACTGATAATGTTAAAAGAAAAAAAATTGCCATAAAGTTTTCTAAACTTTAAAGCTTTTTATTTGATATCTGAAAAAAAAAAAAAAAAAAAAAAAAAAAAAAAAAAAGAGGAACCGTCCATTAACATTCCTGTCAGCCGATTGGACAAATTACCAAGGCCCATGCAAGTCGGCTGACCGATGGGGACACGTCTTTTACCACGTCTACGTCATCCGCTTTTCATTCGATATGTGTGCATATGATTTGGCTCCAGCTGTCCTTCGAGAGATACTTCCAAAGTCGTTTCCTATTCAACAAACGCTCATTGATTTCCACGGAAATTGCAAACCCAACCAAAGTCACAGGTAACCTTTGATAGCTTTTAAAAGTGATTTGACCTAAGCAGCTTTGATTTTTGAATACGTGACTTGTAATCACAAGCAAAGAAATCGCCAAAGGTTGTGGACCGTGTCACCCAGCCGTTACATATTTTTTCGATTCCAGTTTTAAATTTTAATATTTGCAACAAAAGACGTGGTCGCTAAGTACTCGCTTTCCTTCGAGGTGATAGCCCAAGGTTCATGCTTTAGGTGGGTTGGCTAACTAATTTATTAGTTGTAAAAGAGCAAATTAAAATCTGCAACATACAATAATTTTAAACACTTTAAATAATATAAAATAATATAGTTTCAATTTTATTAAAAATTATATATCAATTTGAAAAAAAAATTATTTATTTAATTTATCAATAAATTATAATTAAATAAAATTTATGTTTTAAGAAAATATAATAGATTCAAACTTGACACACAAAAATCAGAACCTAAACCGTGGATTATTTGGGTGCTTTCGTAAATAAGTTAAAGTAGAGGGATGAAATTGTAATGTGGTGGATAATTATGCCTCCGGTTCCTTCGATCCCACGTCACACAGCCAAGCCATCACAATCGAGGTTTTGGTGGACTCTTTCCACCAAGTACTACTATCCACGCGCCTTATTCTCCGTGAATACTACACTTGAAAATCCGTAATTGTTTATGGTGATATACATAAATGGCTTTTATTGGTCAGCCCAAGGCCAAAATGATAAAATATAAGGAAATTATAACATCATGCCTTGTCATTTGTCTTATAAATTATTTATTTAAATAAAATGATAACAAATTTTGAAATTATTATGACTTTATCAATACCGCACAAGTTCTTTCAATTGGTAGAGAGAAAACTTTTTGTCTAAAAAAAAGGTCGGGGAAATTTTTTAAAATTTTTGGAAGACAGAATTTTTTAATATTCATAAAGGTTTTACTATTTTGAGAAAATATTGTAAAAGTAAGATACCGAATACATAAAATCTTAAAATTATATTATAAATGAAGAAAATGGGAAGATCGTTTTACAAAAAAAAAAATTTATAACTCCATCGATGAAAGGAAGAAAAAATTAGGATGATTGAAGTCATTTGAATTGTTTAAAAACAAAAATAGAAAAGAAAGCATCCTAGACCTAGTAAATTTGGTATGCATTTTCAATTTTATATTTTATACCAAAAAAAAAAAAAAAACCCTTAACAAACAAGTTGTATACCGCCACGAGGAGGAGGGGGGATGTAAAACCGACATAAGACGTGTGACCACGCAAATTAACGCAATCAACTTGCATTAGCTCCTCCTTTAAAAGCCCTCCTTCGAAACGCTTAGTGCATGTTTGTTGAATGTTCCTTCTTACTCTCTCTTTTAAGATTTTTATTTCTGATTTACAAATAAATTTGTTTTTTCTTTTTTTCTCTTATTAAATTTCGTCTGAATTTCCTCGTTCAAATTCCATTTCCAAATCTTTCAATTCTCTTAATTGTTGATTATCATTTTTAATTTGTAAATTCCTTGTTTGTTCAGCATGGGTGTTGCAGTTCTAAAACCAGAAGATTGTTTAAGGTTCCCTAATCCCATGAAACACCCAAAAAACCCTTTCCCTAACACATACCCTAACCGGACAAACCGTACTCAACCAAACCGTAAGAAGCGTTCTCCGAACACCTCTCCTCCTTCTCGTCCGACTGCCGGCCGCAAAGTTCCGGCCCAAAGTCTCGTTATGGGCCAAGTCAGGATCCTCAAACGCGGCGAAGATCTTAAAAAAACGACGCCGGAAAAGCATGTAAGGTTCGAAAAGGAAAACGTTGATGCAGATCTGGCTTCAGCTAACCGTTTAGGTCCAGATCCCAGGTCCGTTCGGACCCAGATCCGACTCACTGAGTCAAACAACAACAGCAACAAGAAGGTCTTTCCATCATCGTTTTATGCTGGGTCGGCCTTTATAACATCGCCGCCTCCGAGTTCTGTTCCGATGCCAGCGTTTTTTACAAAGAAGATTGGCGTTGCTGTGAAGAAGGATGATGCGACGAGTGACTTGAGGAGGATATTAAGGCTTGATTTGTAGCTATAGCGAAATCGAGGCCTGATGCTTTAATTAATTTGTTGCAGATTGCTAATCTCTCGTTTGGGTTCTCTAATTTTCGATCATCCCTTATTTTTTCAAGGGGAAAGATCGAAGTAGCTAACTCAAAAAAGTAGGTTTTAGTTTTCCTAATCAAGTTCCTCTGCTGTAAAGTTTAGCTTTTGTCTAGACTTAATTAGATTATTTGCTTTGGTATGCAGGGTGTCTGCTGGGTGTCTACTGTCTATATAGGGTTAATTTCATTTCCTATTTTTCTTGTGTATTTGGTATTCGGCACTGGGTCTGTATTTGAACCTGAACTAGTCGTCAAGTATGTTGGGGTGTGAATCGTGTAATTGATTCATGTATCCCTCTTGCTTGTCAGTTATTAGTTATGATGTAGTAGTCTTCTGATTTATGAATGAAATTATAGTGGTTTTTCATTGTCGAATCTCGGTTTTATGCTTTTTTGGGAGGATGAATTTTCCCATGATTGTTAAATCTTGTTCTATGAACTTCTATGAACTAGCCGAAAGAAGGAATCGATTCAGAAATACAGTGGCCAGGAAATGAACTTTTTCATTAAAGTTGGATTGTGGAACGGCAATTCGAATTTTGGAATCAGGTTTTTTGTGTGGGAATAATCGCAGTTAAAATATCTTGTAGTTGGAATGATTTGCTCGGAATTCAGGCATTAAGGAAGTCACAGGCTGCTTATCGTTTTGGAGCATATTTCAGTTTTCACTTGGGCAAAATTCTTAGTCGTGGTGGTGCCTCTCCCACTGGCCACACGATACCCATTGCATTTCCATCCCTGCATGTCTTCTGGTTCCAACTACTTTTTAATTATATCTTGATTAATCAACACAGACGCTGTGGTTTCTTCGGGAAGTCAAGGGTTCAATCGTTTTTGGCGGCGTTGAGAACAGAGTAATTCTTATCATCTTGGAGTTTAGTCCTTGTTTTCTTGTGGCAGGTAATGCTTATTTTGCCAACACGCTCCAGTGTCCAAACCGTGAATCACTGGAAATTTATGTTCAAAATATCTGTGAATCCTGGAAATTTACATTTTAAAAACTACAGTGTTTGACCAAACCCAAAAGACACGCGTCATAGGTGTTTAGCAGAGCATAGAAATCAGAAAATGTTTCGGAAGAATCTGAGCTGGAGGTCTTGGGGTCACATCAGATTTTCGAGAAGACGTGTACGTTTCAAACTGTCGGCCTTTCTTGATGGGCAGGGGAACGCTTTCTCGGTCTAGGTTGGGCTGTATTAGCCCATTAAAATTTCACTATTCCCGTACATTGAGTCCCCTTGTTTGGCCCACTTTTAAGACTGTTCAATCCTTTTCCATTGGTAATGAGATAAGCCTAGAGAGAAGTTGGAATTAAGCCAGGCCGAAGCCCAAAGGAGAATTCAGAGGGAAGTTACGTTACCTTGAATTCTACTAGGAACAAGATGAATAAGTAAAACAGTAAAGACAACATTAGTGTCAATAGCAAGACACAACACCTTGCTTCGTATTGAATTCAGAAAAAAAGGAGACTTTGAAGGTTTGAGATTGAATATTGATGTTCGATGACGACAAACTAGTGTCCTTGTCAAAGGACTCAAAAGTCGCATAGAGACCAACAAATTTCAACCCAAAAGCAGATCTAATGGAATACTTAAAAGCAATTTCTGACTAACATGGAAAAAAGCTAGCGTCCTTACACATCTTTTCTTAATATATATTAAAAAAAAACTCTGTTCATCAAGCATAAAGTGAATTGAGAATTTATTTCTAATAAAAAAGGAGGCGGAGTGAAGGGATTGGGAGGTGAGAGGGCATAGTGTCATTATCTATATCGTATATAAAACCGAATATGTTGTCCAGGATATAGAAATGGTTGGTGTCTTAATCCAAACCAGAATGTCATAGAGACCAAGCTGCAAGTGGAGCTTCCATCTAATGTTCTTAAATATGCTATCTTGTCCTACTTCATCAAACATCACATACTGGGCCATCCAGTGTACATACTCAACAAACTTACAATTTGTACAAAATAACGGTGCAAAAAACTTTTTCAATTTTAAAATTTTAACCAAGCATAAGTGTCGCGCGCTCTGATGTTAAGTCAAATTTTGTGCGGTTTTAGATTGGAAATAGATTTCGTATGCTTAAGTATGAAACTCAAGCGTACAGGCACAAAATGAACACTGAAAGATAGAATACGAAAGCTTAAGAACACAAAGGAATATTGGTCTTTAGCTTTCCATCAAATATTTTATGTGTAGCTTTGTTTAGCAGTAGCTTGAGGCGACTGGCCTGATGGTTAGAGTATACATATCGATTCAGTTGAAAATTGATTTGAAATATCAGATGAATTCATTTTCGAATTTTAAAATCACATAAATTAAAATTTGAGTATCTATCCGTGACATAAGAGTTTAATCGAAACACCTCATCTTCCATTATTTTTTTTTTTGGCTGATTTGGAGATGGACTGTAAACTATTAAATGATTCTTCTGATTTAGGCTATGATTTTCTCTGTCAAGGTGGTTAAGAAGCCCCCGTTATATGCCTGACGCAATGTGCAGGGAAAGTTGAGATTTACACCAATCCAAAAGATTTAGAAAAAGAAAAAAAAAATCGTAACGTTGGTCCCAGAAACAGGTTTCTTTATTGCTGAATAGATTGAACTAGGTCAACAATTTAACATTCACCAAACTTTTCCTGGAGCTGACAAATTTGTAACTTGGTGGGCTATGTGGAATTGCTCTCTAGTAATGTTCTTATTGACTGGATCCTCATTCCTTAAAGGCAAAACCTAAATATAAATGCCAAAAAAAAAAAAAAAGGAAGGAAGCATTCTCTAAAAGGCTGATACATAATGAGACAGTGAGGCTCATGGATGAGATGACCTCAATAATTGTCCAAAACATCCAGAGTTTGGTTCTGCATTTTTTTTCCATCTAATCAATAACTCTCAACTACTAAATTTATGGTTCCTTTTAGAGATGGATTTTCAGGTCATTGAATCATCTCTCATTTTGCTATATTTTGGCCTATTATATGCGAAATTCTGCAAGGGGAAGTTACATGCATGACACTCCAAATCACATTACAAGTTTCTTAGCCCAAGGCTGATGAATTGATGATAGACAGCTCCATTTGAAGGAGGCAAAGCTAGAATCAACACTAATAATTACTTGAATTACTTTGAAGAAAACGAAATGGAAAAGCAAGTGTTATAGTTGCGTTAGGCTGACAAAGACAGAAAAACAAAAAAAAGACAGAAACAAGAGGGAGAGCCCAAGACGTGCACTCGCCGAAAGCCGAAAGCAGTCTTGTCACCCACGCTAACCTTAGCCTTCCTCCTCTAATCATAGCATTTTTAGATACTACCTTATATCATTATTCGATATTCATTCTTTCCTCAAAATAAAACCGATGCCGTTTTACACGTGAGAAATTTGCATTTAATTCTTCTGGTGCACCAAAATTGATTTAAGTAACTTACTACTATAAGCTTATGCAAAAACAAAATACAAACTATAGAATTTCATAAGATCTTAAAGTAAAACCATAATATTACATATTATAACTTTCAGGTTGGTTTCACTTATCACTTTGCTTTTAATATTAATTAATAACAATTTTTATTCTTTTTCTAATTTTGTACGAAGAAAGCTACAATCAAAAAATAAAAAAATTGATTCCAAATGTTGTAATTTAAATATTAAATTTCAAATAGTAAAATTGTTTGATATAAATATAATGGCTACAAATATACGTATTTTAAACAATAATAATTAAATTTTTATATATTTTTATCGAAACATTACTTTTTTTGGGGGGGGGGGGGGGTTTATGAATAAATATGCAAATGAAAAAAAATTTTCAAACAAAAAAAATTTCAAATGAGAAAAATTGTAGTGTGTTGGTGGGGATATCAGCTTTTCTCTAATGCATATGAATTTCCCATTTGAGGCTTGATACCTTTCTCGGTTAAAGCATTCGAATAAAAAGTATCACACTTACAAGTAGAAGTGGTATTTAACATTTCACTTGGATTATTTCACATCGAAGAAAGTTTATATAATTTCAATTTTGAATTATTTTCAATTTAAAATTTTATTGACAATTGAATTATCAAACTTAATCATTTTGAATTAAATTATGAAATTTAAAAATTAAATTAATTTATTTTAAAATTAATTTTTTAAAATCATTTGATTTCAATCTTTTTAATTCTGAATTAATTCCGTACTGTATACGGTTTAGGTTAAATTTGAATGAAGGGATGAATTTTTTAATTCAAATTGCTTTGCCACCTCTAGTTATGAGTGAAAAAAATGTAATATTTGATGGTAATTAATTTAAAACCTTTGTAAACGAAAGAAAATTTATTATCTAGTTAATTAGAAAATTATATCAATGTAGTATGATATTTTTTTTTTGTTTTCGATGTTTTTTTTTTTTTTTTACTTTCACAGGAACCAAACGAAATATAAGAGAGTAAGGGCAAAAAATAGAGCTGATAAAAAAGAGAGTGCTTGACAACGGTAGGCTGAGTTTGGATGTGGAAACTTAATGGAGTGGTTCAACAGGAGAAGTGTAGAACAAAGCCAGCTCCTGAAGATGCATACGGCCTACTTGAAGAAAAAAGAAGATGTAGAATTTTCTTAGAAGAAACAATGAGATAGTACTTGTATTTTATTTCCATATATATTACAAATAAGTCTGGTCATCAACCAAGCATTGAAAAGGCAATGAATCGGCGGTGGTTATCAGTTTCCGAAGCCCTATAAAGCCAAAAACAATTGAAACCTGCCAGCGCCACATGTCATCCTTCAACCCCACCTTTTCGCTCATCTAAACAAATAAAAAATTAAAAAAATAAAAGTCAGAGTCAGACGCACACACATCACTCTCTTCTCTCTCGCGTTCTCGCCCGACCCCTTTTATAACAACGAGAGAGAAGCGTTGTTTTGTATAAGCAAACGAGAAAACAAACCGAATAACTGGAATCTAAGCCACCACACAAACAGCTTCCAAAATATTTTTAATAATTAAATAAAAATTATTTTTATTAAAAAGAAAACCAGAAAAAAAAAAAGAAAAGAAAAGGCACCCACGTATATATACACTGCTCACGCCCATCTCCGTCACTTTCTTTCACATTTTTAACTTTTCTCTCATTCCTTGCCACCCCCAATATCTTCTCTCTTCTCTCTTGCAAGTCCCATCTATATCTTTTCTTCATATCCACTCTTTATCAACATCTGGGCTCTTTTTCTTCCCTCTCTTTTTGTTTCGTTTGGAGGTGGTGGTGGTGGCGGTGATGATGATGATGACGACGATGGCGATGAAAGATGACTGGGTTCGGGCGGCGATGACGGACGACAACGTGGTGGTGGAGCTGCTAGTAAGGCTCAAGCAGGCTCAGGCGGCGCCACCGGCTCCGAAATCTCTGGTGGCTGGACTTAAATGGGGGATACGTCAGCCGAGGTCTAGGCCTATGTTGATGCGATGCGACGCAAAGAGAGATGGAGATTTCAGCGTCAGCACTAGAGGTAGCCCCACCACGCCTCTTTCTTGGAGCGGTGGTGGCGGCGGTGCCTCTCCTTCCGCCGCCGACGGCTTTGAAGAGACCAGTAAACAATTCCTTCGTTCTCCGCCATCTGCACCTTCCAGATCCAAGGTTTCTTTTCACTTACTCCCTCTCTCTCTCACTCTCTGTCTCGTTCTTAGGAGCTGATCTTTTGCTTTGTCATACTTTGGTCGGTGTTGATGGAAATGTCCCTGTTTGGCATGTCAAACAGCTTGCCACTACCATTTTTTTTTCGGATTTGAAGAAGCGGTGGGTTTGCTTTTGGCTCTTGCCTTTTTGCCTTTTGTTTTTGGTTTTTCGTTTGTGTCCCGTCGACGAGACATTCTTGTCTAACTGGATGACTTCTCTCTCTTTTTTTTCTTAGATCAAATGACCATATAACCCCTCTTTAATCTCCTTACTCGTTCGTTTTTCTCTGTCATGTAAACCGATGCTTTGGGTTTTTCTCATTTTCAGCTGACGAAACTGCCCTTTCAAGAACTTTACTCACTGAGGTCAAATCTGCCCATTGCTTTTCGTTTCTCGTCATCTTCAAACTTTCTTAGTTTGGGTTCGATCTCTCCGACTATCGGTTTAACAGGATAATAAAAACAAGCAGTGTCATCTTTTTTGGTTTGACTAAAATGCCCTAGTGCTTTTAGGGATTTTACATTTTCACGTGAGGTCAGCACTAAAAGCAGATTGGAGGTGCTTTCACGTTTTCTTCTCGCCTCTTTTTTGGTCACCTATCATTCATTTGTTGGCTGTCTTGAGATTTTACTAAATCGCCCTTCCAAACAACAACCACCCCTTAGATTCTAGTTACCAGGCTTTTTCCGTTTAAAGACAGTTTCGTCACAAGAGAGAAAAAATTCACTGGGGCCATCCTTCCCACCACCGTAAGAACCAGGAAACTTCCCCATAGAGGATCCCTTTGAGGGCGTTTTGGTCATAATAAAGTAGGTGGGGTCCATTGACAGAGGGGTGTAGTTATGCCCTTTGGGTTTGGTGTAATGTTGTTAGTGGCGGATGGATAAATCATATAATTTCAGGCCGTTTTGTTTCGATTAGGATTTCGTTTGTTTTGTGAGGAGAGAAATTATCAGGCCTGTCGCGGGTGCAACCGAATTTGGTGGGTCCTCCCCTCCCTTCCCTTCCCTTCCTTCCCTTCCTTCCATCGCTATCTGTAACTGGATTTGTATTCGTAATGGTTTTCTCGTGTTTATCTACTCTTTTTATGGCTTTAGCCTTACCTTTCTCCGAGATTGGGATATCTTTAGCGTTTGCGTCCCACAAATGTCCAACATTTATGATTTGGGATTCGATGGATCATTAACCGTCTGATTTGGACAAATTGAAAGTTGAGAGTGATATTTTTATTAGGTGTCGGGAAGCTTATGTTTATACAGAGAGTGACCCAATATCAACCGGCCATGTCAGAAAAAGTCATGTGATACAAGTCACGTGAGGAGATTCAATCATGTGCTAACATGCCTGTTAATGTGACGTGGCGTGATACTATTGGTTGATTGAGTGAGTAGATTGGCTTTGTTAAATATTTAATTCTAGCCCTTCACCATGCTGAATTTGCCAGCTGTACTACCAGGAAGTGCTTTCAAAGGATGCATGTTCCTCGTTGTGTCTTTGAGAGTGCCATCTTTTTTTTTCTTTTTTTTTTTTTTTAATAATGTAAGGAAAAAGGAGTTGGTTAATTTTTATTGGAGGAGTTGGCTAACATGCCTAACGGCAATGGGAAATTAGGAAACTGTAAATGTGTCGTGAGACAGCGTTTGTTAAGTTCATGGCAATTTGGATAATGTCAAGTTTGCATGTTTGAGGTTTTTAGACCCAATTCCAAACTTTAGTTGAGTGTTTATCCACTCTGGATTTCTACTCCTTTTTTTTCCCATCATCTCATTGCCAAATGATCTGATTGCATTTCTTTTTAAATTTATTGGTTTCTGGTTGGGATTAATTAATTAATTAATTTATGACTGCTTGGTGTACGTTGCAGGGCATTGCTGCTAATGAAACCACCAGCACAACTACCAAGAGATCAAGAAGAAAGAAGGTAAACGAATTGATCTTTCTGGTGCATGATTTTCGTAGGAGATGTTTATGTAAGAAATGTCTGAGGATGATTCATGGATTGCTGGGATTGATTCCAGGATTTACTTGATTCTGTACATTTTCAATGGTATTAATTCAGAAGAATTTATCATTTTTCAGACTTTTGCTGAACTTAAGGAGGAGGAGAGTCTGCTTTTGAAGGAAGGGTTTTATTTGAAAAAGGTGCGTTGAATGGTGTTTTACTGAATTCATCATGTGCTCTTGACTGCAGTCAGTTAATCTTACAGTCATCTTTTATTCGTTGAACAGGAGATAGCATCTATGCATGCCACTTGTAAAGAACAGAGAGCCAGGAATGAAAACTTGAAAAGAATTAAGGTTAGCATAATGTTTCTTTAATAACTGAAGTACCATTCCGGCAATTCATTAATCAACATCATACAAAATTTAGGCATATAATTAGCCAAAAAATAAGTACTATTAATCTTAGAAATCTGTATAAACATTCTTCTGTTTCTCCTTTTTTATTTTAACCTACTTCTATTGCAGCTTGATTTGAACTTGCACACTGCAAACAACTCGAGTTTAATTGCTAATGAGCCTGAGAAAGTACCTTCCTGTCAACGCTCTTCTCTTGACTACATTCCCTCAACCTTGCCCTCACATGCCCTTGATGATGGAAAACCACTGTTAGATTCTTGCAATGTGGGCAAGGCTGTTTATAGCGAGGAGAGTTTTTTCTTACTGCCTGATCTAAATATGATGCCTGCTGAAGATGATTCTGGCACTGAAACTTTATATGGGACTAGCTGAAAAGATGAGTTCACGACTTCCCGTTCGTGCAGCCAAAGGTTGTGAGAAAGTGGAGGGGGAGGGACTTGGTAGAAAATACTGATACTGCCCAATGAGCTGTTTGCTGATACAACTATAATGAAACTCAGGCCAAGCAACAGATATCACAGTTAGAGTTGCACCAATTGCCAACCCTAGAGGGTAGTGAAGAAATCCTACCCTGTAGATGGTAGAGAATCTTGTCATGGTGGAGGCTCCTAAATTCCTCGGTTGGGGTCAACCCTTGTTACTTCTTGTTTCGGAATTTATGTAGAAATAATTGTGATTCTTTGTAGGTGTAACCTGATGCTCATGGCTTGGCCATGTTGTAAACTTCTTGAAACTAGTTGCACAGTTTTGTTGTTACAATCTCTGTTTCCAGTCCCCCTTTTTCAATTTTTTTATGTTCAACTTGGGGGAGGAATTCCGGAAAGGACTTCCCAGAATCTCTGATATTATTTCCTTATAATCTTCATTACTAGTGAAATTTCTTATATTGTTTAACTCTTCACCTTTGTACCAAAATGCAAGTACGTTTGACAGACTATAACCTGGATTTAGAAGTAGCAATTCTTGTCGAATGATAATTCGTTTTATCTGAAAATTGACTTAATGTGAAAAATGCGAAATGTATTTTGTTAAAACTTTAATCCGTGGTTTGTGCTTTAAATTACAAGTCAACCTGGATCACATCTTCCATCTGGTGTTTGTTTTTGCTAGTAGCATTTGTCGACGATGTTCCTTCGACTATGTTAAAAGGTATTAGAAGTGAATTGAGAAAGTATTTTTCCCATTGGCTTTATATCTTGATTCCCGATCCTGGGGAAAAGAGCGAAGATAAACCTTAATTGCAAGCAAGAAAAGCAGCGTCGTAAGAAACACAGCTAAAGGTTTTTGGTCAATAAAGATGCCATTAATTTAATCGAAACAAAATTGTAGACACCTGCGTACCTAAGTCCATTAACTATAGAAAATTCCGACCTGGCGTTCCCTCTGTTTCCCACAGAATGCCGCTCAAAAAAATTAATGCAATAATTGATTATCATTTTGATAATTATGGTGGTCTTTTTTAAATCTCAGTTAAATGTGTAAAATTTAGTTACATACCTTGGAATTTAGCCGCACAAAAGCAATATCATTTTATTTTCTCCTGCATCATGAATTTCGTTTATGTATTCATCACTGCAAGGGGGAAGTTGGGAGCAATAGATATCTACATGAATAACTTAAACATTATTGATTGATTAATTGGTCTTATTTGCATCAGCATTGAAAGCACAAAAACTTACTCCAAAAGGAATAAATGGATCCTTAAAAATCATTGGCTTATGTACAATTTATGGATATGAATGGACAGAAACAAATGGATAAGGCTGGTCTCTGTGTTACTGAAATTCATTATAAATGTTTGCTTTCGCATGAATGTTGTTACTGGAGAAAGTGTGTTTACAAGTTCAGCTCATAAAACTGTTACAATAAGGCATATGTTCAATTATGGCCACAGCCAATTTCAGTGACAAGTATTGAATTCCAGGATTTATCACATTTTATTTGATGTTGTTTCATTTTCCAAATTGAGGATTTATCCCATGTGTTTGGCACCCATTCGTTGCTTCTCTGTTTTTCTTTTCATTTTGCCAACGGGTGTTCAGATGTGCTTGAATTAGGCTATTCTAACCTTTTCCATCTTAACGGCTTGTTTGCAGGTGATAGCATAGAACAATCATTCGCACATACGAATTTATTCATCTACTATATATTTATTTATTTTTCTTATCATCAGGTTGATCGAATGGGCCAGAGGGATATAGGTGTAGAGGATGAGGTTAGGTATCTGTACAATAGTGTCATTGTGCATTATAGGAAATCCTTCATACGGGACAATGCTCAGAGGCATATGATGCCTTTTTTCATTTATTTTGATGCATCTTCTTTCAGTTTCAGTTAAAAATATTTGCAGAATGCTTTTGGCATCTGCTTTCTTTTCCCCCCTCTTCTAAGTTTACTGTTGTAACCTTTTTCATTTGAATCTTCCATCTAGAAATAATAAGTCTTTATGATGCACCCTTATTTTTGTTGTTCTAATCTTGTGAGGCACAATAAAAAGTGCTTGATTTATGTGCATTTTTTTTGCTTAAAAATATCAACTTTATCTTTCTGTCTTTAATCTTTTGAGCCCTAACTTTTATAATTTTTTAAATGCAGAGTTTCACCACTTACCTTTGAACTTGAAGTGACCTTGAAATTGGTCAGATTTCTATGCAGGTACGTTTCAATGCTTAATGCGATTATGATCTCATTGAGTTTGCTTGTAGACAGGACATGCAATAGCTCCGTGGTATTTGTGAAATCAATTCTAGGGAGATAACAAGTTTTATGATATAAAATAGAATTATAACTTGCTATATTGACAATTTGGGTGCATCTTTTTTTTGCACATGTTTACTCTTGTTTTATAGTGTTAATCTGATAGCTGATATTTATGACATTTCCTGAGAAAGAATAAGATAAATGCACTTCTACGACTTGTCCTGTCTAAATTCCAAGATCTTGTATGGAGTGTTCTGAGTTAAGTATTCTGTTCAAAATACATTCTTAAAAGAAATTATATTTTCAATTTTTGTGGTTATTGTAGGCGAGAGCTGAGTTAGGAGGTTGTGGAATTGTTAACCAATGCTGCCGATGGTGCAAAATCTTTGATGGATGCCAACGACAGACTTATATTATATGTTGAAATAGCTCGTTTATTTGGTACTCTTGGTTATCAACGGAGAACTGCCTTCTTCTCAAGGCAGGTAGCTCAGTTATACCTACAACAGGAAAATAGATTGGCTGCTATCAGTGCCATGTAAGTTTTGGCAATGACCACCAAAGCATATTGTGTTCATGGTAGAGCATCCATCTCATAACATTCTCTTTCCAATGTGAGTATAGAAGTATGGGGGATCTATGGAGCGCACATTTTATGCATTTCTTGTAACAATTTTATGAAGGCACTTCAATCTAAATGAAATTGTTCTTTCTTAGTAAACTATCCTATTATAACAACCATCACTACTTTTCTTTCTTTTATGACAGAAAACTGAATCAGGTCATGCTGATAACGGTAAAATGCATTATCAGTCAGTTATTTCATTGTTTGACTCTCAGTGGAGCACCTTGCAGATGGTAGTGCTGAGAGAGATACTTCTTTCTGCTGTTCGTGCAGGAGATCCACTTACCGCCTGGAGTGCAGCAGCCAGGCTACTATGATCTCATTACCCACTAATTACACCTGCTGGACAAAATGGCCTTGCTAGTGCACTGACAAATTCAGCTGAAAGGTTGCCTTCGGGAACTCGATGTGCTGACCTTGCCTTACCTTTCATAAGGTTTGCCTCACTGCTTTAAATTTATGTATATTTGGGAGGGAGAATTTCATTTCCTTATTCTAGTGGTATTTGTTCTTGTGCTGCGCTTAATGTGGAGAATTTTAAATATAGTCAGTTCGTGAGACACTTTGTAGTCTCTTAGTTTTTGCATAGGCTTTCTGCATAGTTTCCCCTTCGACCAAGAAGTTATTTTGCAGAGTTCTTTGTATTTGCTTGTTTTCAATCATGAAGAAACTGTTGACTCCCACTTTCCTTAATATCTCAGTATTCAGAAATCTTAATTGTTGTCTATAAATGCAGGCTATATTCTTTTCCTCTCCATCTCTCACAAATGTACATTGCAAAACGCAATCCAGGTAGAGAAGATTTGTGGGCAGGATCTGCTCCTTCATGACCTTTTATTTATACTTCGTTCAGCAAGGAAGTGCCAAATGATAATAGCAAGCAAGAGATGATTTGGATTGTTGGGGAACAGGTCCAGGTCTTGGTGGAGTTTTCTAACTCTTGTGGTTTTGATTCAAGGGTAGATAGCATTCTTTCTCTCAGTGCAGTCGCGAAATTTGATGCTTTTCCCCTTAGTCTGGATCTCCCACCTAATTCATCTCAGGTGATCACGTTATCTAGAATCCCAACATCTGTTGGGCCAGTGGTGATTCCAGGATGCATTGTTCATTGTTTTGGTGTAATTACGGAACACCTTTTTAGGGATGTTGATAATTTGCTTCTTGGAGCAGCACAAGGACTTGTGCTTTCTGACCCTTTTCGATTCTATGGTTCACCAAGGCTGAGAAATGTATCTGTACCAAGTATTTCTGTAGTAACTCCATTGCCATTGATAGTGTCACATGTTGGTGGTGGTGATGGTGCCATTGTTCTATATGAAGGGGAATTTCGAGATGTATTGATAAACCTAGCTAATGCTGGCACGGTTACAGTTGAGCAGGCACACATTTCATTGTCTGTAAAAAACCAAGATTCTGTCATCTCAATTGCATATGAAAATTTTAAATCTGCTCTTCCAATGAAACCTGGTGCAGAAGTGACAATACCTGTGACCTTGAAAGCCTGGCGACTTGGCTTGGGTGAGAGTGGTACTGCAGCTGGTAAGAGTGCCTCTGGCAGCATGGGTAGAACAGTGAAGGATGGAAGCTGCCCCTCTTTGTCGATCCATTATGCAGGTATTTTTGTAAAATTTATATGGTGCAACCACTCACTCAATGTCTGACATAACTTTCAAGCACATATCTTTCTTATTTCCCCTATGTTGTCAGTAAACCGTTGATACATTTACTGCAATATTGTAGAATTTCCTAGTTTCATTAACACCTTGTTTGAAGGATTCCTGTTGTATTATTAGATTGGATCAAATGATCTTTTATGATTTCACTTGTAATGTAGTCATGCTGTATTAACTAAAGTGCTAGCAGCTATGATGCATATCAAAGCCCATCTTTTGCAGCTAATTATATGCAAATATATTTTAGAAAAGTTTTGAGTACTTTTTTGAACTTTTCCTAAATGATATTAAAACTGATAAATTTAGTATGTGCGTTAAGGTATAAGCGTATGAATTAAGATCAACCCTTTCAGAAATACTAATAGGCAAAATTTTATACTGAGTTTCTAATACTTCTTCACTGGAGCAAATGTAACTGCATTGGAAGCTTTTCATGACCAAGGTCATTTGAATTGGATGACTAGTAGCTTCTCCATATTACCATCATTCTTAAACTGCATGCAGGAACTTTCTGAATGAGATTTATCCACTGAGCTTTTCCTAGTGCTTAAATTCATCATTCTTTTCTCAGGGCCACTAGGAGATACTAGAGATCTTGAAACAAACAAATCATCTGTGCCCCGAGGAAGGTGCCTGGTTGTTCCATTACAAATCTGTGTTTTGCAAGGTTTGTCTTTTGTGAAAGCTCGTTTGCTTTCTATGAAGATTCCTGCACATGTTGATGAGAGCCTTTCGAATCTGGCTATTGTGGATGGTAACCCTTTGGATGAAGCCGTTGGCTATGGAAGTAAGACAGACTGGTGAAGATTGATCCCTTTACAGGAAGGTGGGGATTACATTTTCTCGAACTAGAGTTGTCTAATCCAACTGATGTGGTGTTCGAAATTAGTGTCTCTGTCCAGTTGGAAAGATCAAGCAATGAGGTCAATGTTTCTGTTGACAGTTCTGCTGAATATGGTTATCCTAAAACAAGAACTGACAGGGACTGCTTTGCAAGGGTGTTAATACCACTTGAGCTTTTTAAGTTACCTGTTCTTGATGATTCAATTTTTTTGAAGGATTTACAGTCTGATGGTCCACTGGTGCTAGAAATTCTAGTTTCTCAGAAAGGAGTACGAAGGCTGAACTAAATGTTTCCATTAAGAACCTCATTTCCAGAATAAAAGTCAGGTGACAATCAGGACGGAACAGCTTTGGAGAATTGAAAATCAAGGATGCTGTACAGGCAGCCCTTCAGTCATCCGTCATGGATGTACTACTGCCAGATCCTCTGACTTTTGGCTTCAGGCTTG